CACTACAAAGAAAATGCAAAGTCTGCTTGATGATGACATCCTGTCATATCTTAAATAAGTAGAAACCCTAATTTAAAATAGTAGTTTCTTATTGTATTTGCATGATATGTCACATAAATGAATGGCAGTTTTGGCTAACATTTAACATTTAATTAATTTGTTTCTGTGGCACAAATGTAACATTTATCAAATTCTGTAGAAATGTCACATTTTTACATCATCATTTTTCAGATAGTCATGTACCTGTCTCACCAAAGTTCAAATGCAAACTACAGTTCTCCTTTATTTTGTCAACTGAAAAGACGTATAAAGATGTATAAACACTGTAAAGAAACAAAAAACAGGCAATTTTCTATGCATTTATGAAAAAACATAGGATGACAATGAATGACAAATTTTATATACAAAGCTCCGACTAGGTGTTCGCATGATGTTTTAGTGGAAAATGAAATAAATAAGCTGTTTTTTTTTTAAATCAATATTTACCCAAATACATCATTATTCCTTCAGGTTGCTAGCAGGTTTCAATAAATATGTATGTTTGTTAAGTGTACAAACCTGTTTTACAAAATACCAAAGGTCATTTATGAATTTAATTTTAATCAACTGATTTACTCTTTTGGATTTGACATAACATTTCCTTGTGTTTGTGCTCTTTACATTTGATCCTTTATTATGAAGCTACAGTATTTGTGGCTTCTGTCCCAATTACAAGCGTTTGATATTTCGATGTTGACGACAAACGCCTGCTGATGACAGTGTGCCGGTGCTTGTTGAATTACATTACATTTATTTGGCAGAAGTCTTTGTTCAACATCACTTAACTGTAGATTACAGCAGTGTGTGGATGATGCAGCCACACCGTCTGAAATAAAACAACAGGTCCCGCTATTTCATCGTTTACTTGAAGCGTTTCTTTCATTTTGCTACCAAGTTCTTTCAGCCGTCTTTACCAGGTTTTCTGTTTTGCTGGTATCATTCAGTGTTTTTGAGTATACATTCATAGCAACAAGTAGGAAACAAAGCAAAACTGGATCTTGGTGTTTGAAATTGTGAGTTGTTTGTGCATCAACAGAATATAGCTACCTAGTTTGATTTTAATTAAAATCTTGCTTCATTTGTAGTCACACCCCAGACATACTGCATGCAGTATGTCTGTTTTTTTAATTATTTATTTAAGACCACATTTTGTGACTTCAAGATAGGTGGGAATCTCAGAGTTTAGTTTACCAGAAAAAGTATGAGCAATGAGTGCAGGACAACGTAGCAAAGAGTTTCGCTTTTCTTGCATGCATTGATAGCATTTAAAAGTGTGTGTGAGTGAGTGTGTGTGTACTGTATGTGAATGCTTCCTTCTTTGAGTGTATTACACCTCTGCACACAGCTGCCCTTCACTTGCCAGCTGGACACTCGACAACCCAGGCAGCAACAGCTGGAAAAATGGACAGAATGTTCCAAAAGGAGAGAAGAGGAGAAAGTGTGTGACCCAGCAGGCCAGACTGTGAGGCGAAATTTTAGTTTTTTTAGACCAAACCTCTTCAAATCAACACCCCCTTCTCTGAAAACCCCTCAACCCATTCCCCTAATTTCATGCTCTCCCTCTTCTGGCAGCAGGGAAAGTACCCACCTACTCGTAAAAGTCCTCCCGCTGCCACACCCCTGTTTCGGGCCTGAGGTGCTGGCTGGCAGCTGCCTCATGAAGCTGTCGGTGTCAAGAAGACAGGCCGAGCTAGCACAGGCACCTGTGAGACAGACAGTGATTGTTCTCCAGACCTGGCCCGTATCGCTGCTCATGCCTCAACTTTGCACCTGTCTTCTCCTACTCTAGCTCCATCATCTTTAACTCCTTGCTTAGTTTTGTCCTGCCCCCCTTCTTGACTTGTATAGGTCTGCCCAGCTTTTAAATATAAACAAAGCACTGCACTGCAGAAGGAAAAAGATTAAAAGAAACGGGGAGAGGTGAGTGAGGGAGCAGCGGAGGAATCAGGCTGGGAGGCTGAGGGGGATGAAAGCGACCACAGAGCAGTCTGTGTTTAGTGGGTTAGTGGAGCGCTGGCCTTCACTTACAGGGACTTGGACCACTTCGCCACCACGATGCAGCAGATACCAAGCTGTCCTACAATGAGACCTTCATCACAGTTGTCATCACCAAACTCTGCTTTTTTCTCATTTTTGTGCAGCACAAAGATGAATTCAAACAAATATAAGTTTTCTTTAGTGTCCTTTTCATTTCCTCCATTTTTTTTTAGATCCAACTTTTCCTCTACTCATGCCCACCCTCTTCTGCCATTCCCTCTGCCCAAGTAGTCAGTGTTTGGTGCATGTGTGTGTGTGTTCTTATCCTCAAGCTCAGAATAAGTGGCACCAGACAGGCCTTATAAGGAGTGGTTAGATCACTGGCCACACCGTTAGTAAAACAGAACCATATGCTGTGTGCTGTGTGTGTACTGTATGTGTGTATTACATTGTGGGAACCAATTTTTTTATGCCATCATTGTGAGGACATTTTGGCCAGTCCTCGCAACTTCAGCTTTTTGAGACTTAAAACTTGGTTTTAGGGCTAAGTTAGCCGATGCTAGGGGCTGGGGGATTCATTATGTCAATGAGTGTCCTCTCAGGAATAGTAAGACACGACTATGTGTTTGTGCGTAGACCAATACCTCAACTCTGCTCTGCCTGTGTGTGTGTGTGTGTGTGTGTGTGTGTGTAAGTAAAACCATGTGTGTCGAGAGGTAGCTGTGAGAACAGGAGCGTGTTGCTAATAGACATGGTGAAGGTCATGTTATATGGTCATGTTAAACACACGTATACACCCCCCCCCCTCTCTCTACATTATCTCCTCTTGTCTATGCAGCCTTGTCCATTTGGCCAGAAAGAATGTTTTCATACATAGTACACAAATAGACACCTGGCATTGATGTTGAGAGTATTACATAAGGAGAGGTGTCAGCCTAATGTGCGAATGATCGGCCTGTGGGTGGAGCATCTTTCTGCCGCCCTGTTTCATCTACTGATGGGATTAGCAGAGGAGGACTCTCGCTCTTTCTCTCAGTCTCCATCTTTCTTACACAGCTTGTCTGGAATGTACAGATGTTTCCTTTTGGGAATGGGCGTCCTGCTCTGTTTACACACACACACACACACACACACACACACACACACAGAAGGAAAGAGGGTGAGAGACAGGAGAAGGGGGACTAAATTCCCATACACTCAGATTCACCTACACATTTCCTTGCTATAGGCTGCTGATTTTGATGTTTTGCTGCAGAATTAGTGTCAACTGAACAGACAGCAGCTGGGAACTGAAACGAGGATCAGCAAAGCTAGTAGAACTGTTCTAATATCAGTTTATCACTGAGTCTCCAGGCCAGCAATATTTTGTCGTTTTGCTCACATGCTCAGGGCATTTGTCCTCTCTCAACCTCTGGCTTCTTGTCTCTTGGGTTCTTTTTTTTTTTTTTTGGTTTGTTTTGTTTTTTCCTCCCTTTTGTCTCATCGTTCTCACGTGCAGCTGAGGCTTGGCTGCGAAGGCACATGGACGGGAGACTGAAGCCGCTCAGCCTTGCTCGGTTCTGTCCTGCTCTCTCAACTGTTCTCCGTGTTTGTCTTGACAAGTCTCCTGTACAGTTCAGCCAATACAGTTTTCTCATTTCCGTAGTTGTTTATCTACTCATTTTGCACAGACTCCAATTCCAGTCTACAAATGGTGACATGTTAATGTTTGTTTTCTGCATATTCTTTATAATGTTAACACTGTGTATGTAATGTACAGTATGTCTGCATGTACTGTATAATACATTTGTTAGGTACACCTATGGTTGACAACCTAAATTTTTACTCTGTCACATTTGCATTTTTATTCCTCAGATGCAACTGAACTGCAATATAAAAGTAATCAACAGTAATACAGATCATTGCAAAGACAAAAGAAGAGGTCTGGTGCTCACCGCATCACATTTACAATGAATTCAGAAAGCTTTAACATCCTCTTGAAGATCTGCAAGAAAGAAGAAAATGTGTGAAATGATGAGTGAAGACTAGAATTTTTTCTTCAGGCACTTTTTCAGAGCATTATCATTAAACCTGTGACCAGTTTCGAACTGTCAGGGTGGAAACAGTAAAAGAACATTATTGAATTTGTTTGTCTGTCTGTGTGTAGTACAAATGACCACACCTGACCCGTAGATGTGCTGTTTTGCAAAAGAATGAATAAAGATGCGGGACTGAAAATGAATGTTTGTGTTATAAACTGTGGGCACGCGTTTGAAAGATGATGACATTTAATGGGCAGACAGGTCACATGAATTTTTAATAATGGCTGCATTATTGAAAATGTGGAGAATCACAGCATGTCGTGTTTGGGAAGTCGGAGACATTTTAGGGACTAAAAGTCAGGATATTTTTGGCATAATTCTCATTCATTATTCAATTTTAACAAAGGAGCAAAGAAATTACACGTTACGGGTACACAAACACACACACACACACACACACACACCATGCAGTCATTTTGTCCCCAGTCTGAATGTCATTCCTTCTCGCTCCACACATTGTCATTCTCTGCAAAAGAGGAATCACTATACTTGCTACTTTGGGTGTTCTTTGGCCCTCTGGTGAAAACTTTGACCGAACTAAAAAAGTCTAACATCTATTTTTGCAGTTCCTAAAAAAAAAAAAACCTAACAGTCATGATGCATAAAATTTTTCCTCAACAACAGTTGTATTAAATGTGTCATTGCCAAGAAAATATTAACCAGAAAATTCTCTATTTTTGTGTCCTAAGTAATGTGCTTTTTGGCACATCTATGTACATATTTAGTGTGTCTGGTTTTATTTATGTGTCGTTTCCCTTCGCTCTCCTTTGCTATTATTATATTTCATTTCCCAGCTCTTACCCGATCACATTACATGGCTTATTACTTGTAAACTTCTGATGATGCAATCATCTGGCCCTTGCATACATTGTTAACTTGTGGATATGTTGTTTGTTTCTACAGAGATCTTTCCAAGAACCACATCTCCTCTCTTGATACCAGCCTGTTAGACCGTCTCACTAGCCTCCGAGAGCTGTGAGTGTTTGTGCGTTCATATACTCTCACCTAAATCTAATCTGTCTATGTATGTGCATCTCCGTCGATCTACTTAACTCTATGTATCACTTGTCTCTCAGGTATCTTCAAGGGAATAGAATCAATGTTCTCCCCAGAGGAGTGTTCTGCTGTGGGCCCCTGTCAGTCCTGTGAGTACAAAGGCTGGTGAAGATGAGCACCTGGTAATCCGGGGTCAAGAGTTGAGGACAGGAGTGAGCGAGAATGAGGAAGACAATGAAGAAAGATGAAGAGGGAAAAGCTTGATTTAGTCTGGATTTAAGTAGGCAGAAATCCCAGGAGTGAGCTAACTAGACCGGAGAGCATTAAAAAAACAAAAACAAGAAAAAAAACCCACACACCAATCACAGTGCAATTAAGTTCAATTACAGCTTACTGCTCCAGGCTCCCACTACCTCCCTTTATCCCTCTCTCCATCTGACCATGTATCCCTTCTTCCATCCATTACCTTATTTCTTCCACCCATCGAATGGGCGTTTAAGCATATGTTTGTGTGTGTGTGTGTGTGTGTGTGTGTGTGTGTGTGCGTATGATGAGAGAGGACTCTAGTGGTTTCCAACAGTTCCTTCCAAAACCACCGCACAACGGCCTCATTATGTAGCCTACTGAATAGAGGAAGGAGGGAGGGAGAGATTATGAGTGGAATAAGAGGGAGAGAGGAATAAAGAAAAAGAGCGAGAGACACATGGAAACAGCCTGTTACACAGCGCATGAGCTGGTAGTTATGTTATACTGTATACCTGTGTTTTATTGAGTCATTTTGTGTGAAGCAGGAGTGTGAATGTCCTTGTTTTAAAAAACACAAATCTGAAAGTCGTTTTGCATGACTGCAAAATTCACAATTGCATAAAACAATTGAGTTTTTGTCAGTGACAAACCCACACTGCATAAATCCTGCCAATATCCATGTCATGCATAAATCTTTTTACAAATTAGCGGCGTCAAAATGTGAAGGAACTTGTTCTTGTATTAACGATGATTTGTCTCTATTGTTTCCATCAGCGATTTGAGCAACAACCAAATCACCACCATAGAAGAAAGAATATGTGACAACCTATGCAATTTAACTCAAATGTAAGTAATGACAATTCACTGATATTCTCTTGGAGTCTTTGTCTTTTGTTGCTCCAAAAACTATATATAAACTAATATAACTGAACCCTCTGTGTCTATATACCCACATACACATATAGAAGTATATGCACAACCAAACACGTGCATTTGATCACACATGCTTAAACAAACAGCCCGTTTCCAGTTAACATGCCTGCACACAAGATGAATTCAGCTTTATTTCAGACCGGAGTGGGAGGTAGTAAGTAGTAATTATTCCTTGACAGGTCCTTAGATGAGAAAGGTTTTCTTCTTTGCAGAGTCTGAGTGAAGCTAAAGGGTCTAGGCAGTGACAGACAGACATGTTATGTAATTTTGTTCTTTCTCCCCTTTTTATTGCTTTTATCTGCTGCTTCATTCAAACACCAGCTTTTCATCTCCCCCATATTTTTCCTCCCTTTCTTCTGTTATTCCCACCATTCCCATAAGTCCCATTTATATGCTAGAGCATTTTACATCCTGTCTCTTTAATCATGATAAGTACATCTTTTTATGGTAAACAGCTAAATATTAAATTCACAAATGCAGATTTTTTAAATGCACCTGCTCTTTTCTCTTAAATTTAATAGAGAGCAAACATGGAGTAAGATTGTATATGTTGCTTGAACCACATTTATAAATGATTTTTTTTTTTTTTTTGGCTGTTCTGTTTTTGCACTTTACATCAACATGACAAATATGCCTTTTTGAATGTAGTTGTGAAATTGAAAACTCTTATGGCGGCTATTTTGATGTGTCACTGTATTAAAAGCAGTGGATGTTTTTTTCCATTCAGCTGTGCCACTTCCACGGTCCTGGTATTATGCATACTGGGTCACTCATGGCTTACAAGGACACTTCATTGGAGCTGAGCAATCACTAATGTTCTTAGTTGTACCTGTCAAAATGTCTGTAGAAAAGTCTGCAAGCAGAAGCTGTTACGATAGTCATCATTGCAGTTTTTTCTCAATTAATGCAGTTAAGTTTGCAAGAAAATGTTGTTTTAATGTAAAAGCTTAAATGTGTAACTTTTTTGTGTAAAGACTTTTATGTGTTATAGACGTTAAGTCCAGCTCATTTACTGTTATTGAGCTAACTGCCTGGTTTTGATTTCCTGTATACGGCTTTTATTTTTAGAGACTTCCTGCCTTTTACCATTTCACCTTTATGCTGCTTATTAGCCACCTGATTGGGTTCACCTACGCCTCATTGTCTCCTGCCTATATAACCTGCTTCCCGGGTTTAGCTACTTACCATGTGGCCTCTTGCCAGGTGTAGCACTCCCTAGTCACCCCTGTAATCCTGTCAAGTGAACCTGTTGCCAGACCTGATTTTTTTTTGGCCTCTGACTCTCTGCTTGCTTCAATCCTCCCTTGGGTTTCCACCACCATGCTGGTGACTAGCAAAGGGAAATGGCAAGCGGTTCACTGGAAGCTCACCTGTGGGAACCATCTTCTGTTCTTGCCACCATTTTCTGAACTGTTATATTGATGGTCTCCTTACAAAGCTCTGTGGTCTCTGCTATTGTGAGACATTGCCTCGTACTTGCCAGTTTGCTACCGTGAGTGTGTGTTTGTCTACAGAGCTGAAGAGTTTTCCTGTAGAAGTTTGCTTTACCACCTGGTTTCCTACCTGTATGATCTGCCATCCTCTGGTGCCTCCACCATTACCTTATCTATTCAGTTATTCTGTCCCAAAGCCTCTGCTCTTCACCGTCACAAAACAACCAGAATCCATCAATCCATGAGTGAGGCTTGCCTGCAGTTGGTTTTGCCTTCCCTGCTGGATTAAAGGAGACTGTCCTTATTGCCTCATTTGTCTTCACCGCTGTCAGCCCACACTGTGACCTCACCGCTTTGCTTTCCCAGCAATAAATCTTTTAACTCACTCCTGCTCTCTAGTGTCATGCACACATGACACAAACATACAACGTGGTGTAATTTTAGCATCTGAAAGCAAATACATTATTGAAATTGTCAGCTGATTAGTTGAGGACATTTTCATGAAGCTAATATTAGTTAATGACATCTGACTCTGAATGTTCTGGGGGGGTTTTTGCGGCTACATCAAACATCTTTTTAAGCACCATGTAGCAACATGGTGCAGAAAGTAATGGGTTTCATACAGTTTTATTAACAGTGGAACTTCATTCTATCTCTGTTTGTACGTTTCATTGTTACTGTTCATTTGATGCATCCTCTCCTTCAGTGACCTAAGCAGTAACCCCTTTGAGTGTGACTGTAAGCTGTTCCGCCTGGTCAGCTGGCTCCAGGAGAAGGGGGTGCGAGTCCGACGCCCAGATGCCATGCTCTGCAACCAGCCTCCTGAACTCCGCCACCAACCTCTACTCAATGTCAGCCTGCTCACCTGTGGTACGAAACACAAGTTTCCTTTTACAAGTCACAAAAATGTTCACTGTAGTAGTATTAGGACTTTGTTGTCCTAAATTAAGTCTCTCAAGCAGTTCTTAGCTCCAGTAAGGTACGAGCTGTTTCGGGCAGCACCATTCTGATGCCTGGGAGGCTCAGCTCACAGAAAGAAGTATGTGCTTGATTAATAAGCAAGCTTAGTCTAATAAAAAGGAAAAAGTAAATGGCACTTTTGGGTTTAAAATTAAAATGAATGTTTACTGCATTACACAGTGAGGGAGATGGCAGACCGTCTTTTGACCTCTTTCTGTTTTGGACTGAGAGGGTCTGGTGTCTCTTCGTCAGGTCTGAACTATGCAGCTTGTCTTGAGGACAGCAGCAGCGGAGGAGGGGGACGAAGTGAGCTTGTGATCTTCTCTTCTTCCACACCCGGAAACTTCACGCGTGAACAGTGTAACAGCGTGTGTTTTGCTGCATCACACCGCTACGGCGGTTTGGGGGCTAGGCACGAGTGTCTCTGCAGCACAAACTCCGAGCCCAACTTCATCAGTGAATCTCAGTGTTCCGCTGCCTGTACAAAGCCCAATGTTATGAAGGTATGCGGCACACATGGTGCCAGATAAAAATCATTGTACAGCAGGATCTTCAGATGTCAAGTGTTTTGACTTGTAAAGATAGAGATCTCTTGTGTAGCTTTTTTCTCTTGCTTTGTTTCTTCTTTTGTAAACACATCATTCAGAAGGTCCCTCTGTGGTTACAGCCTCAGATTTAGTTTCCTGCAGGATTGTACAGAGCAGCTTGAGATGTTATTCAAAACTACAGCCGAAAGTCAAGATCTATTTATTTTAAATTGGCGCAAGTGATACGTTTCACTAAAACTGCATTTTTATTTAAAACCATAAAAATAATAGTGAAACCACAAACATCTTAACAGTTAACAGAAAAAAAAAAACAATAGTATTTTAGTTTTAGATACTTGTGCATATCAACCCAAAAGGCTCCTCTTCCTGAAATGGTTTCATTTAATTCACAGGAATGTGGGTGGACTCTGGCTCACGATGTGTTTGCAGTGGACTTCTCCATTTCCCTGAAGCCTCTCCCACTGCAAAGTGTCCACGACCACATCAGTTTTTCTGCCGCCTCCTCTGTCGCTCCGGTGATGCTGTCCTGGGACTTTGGTGACCTTTCTTCTCGGGTCAACGCTACAGGAACACGGGTGACCACAGCAACTCACAAATATGGCCTTCCAGGACACTATACGGTCAGTTTGATGGCCTGGGCTGGACACAAGGAGGTAAGAGAAGAAAAGAGGAAATCATTTTACACTATAAAATATTATACACTATAGGTAATGAACAGCTTTTAAGATATTATTTGGGTGTATATTAAACAGAGTGACCTGTTATTTTAATGTTTTGCTTTATTTCTGTGTGTGTCCAGATCTCTGCACGCGGAGAAGTGAATGTGACGCTTCCTCCTAAACTGGAGTTGCGCTGTCCACCTCTTGCTGTGGCCAATAGGAGTCTAGAGATCAAACTTGTCAGCTGGGGTGCTGCTGGTGTGGACGTAGACTGGAAGATCACCAAGGATGATGTCCAGGTTGCCAAAGGTAAGGTACACCAACACAAACTCAGAGCAGCCAGTCACACTCGGCTGAACAGAAGAATAACAGAAGAATGCCTAAAAGGAAAGGACATCATTAATGCCAGTTCCACAGTACTCAGTATTCATATATTTTTACATCAGTCCATATTTAATGTGGTCCAGAATTTTTACTACTTTTTGCCCCTTTTCCTGTACTTCTGTTCCTGTTTAAGCGGTTAGCATTCGCCAGAGCCCTCTAAATGTTTATCCTTTGAACTGACAGCTCAGTATAAATACCAACCCTGTTTGAACCATACTGGCATTGTGAACATGATGATTTGTAATGATCTACACGTTCATGTCTCTCTCAACTGTGTACTGTTGCCTACTTTGAGGCCTTGTAATGCTCATCAGACCTGGTACATTGTGTTTGGGTGTTTTCATGATGTTGCAAGTATGACTTCAAATAATCTAGGAAATCATGTGAATGTTTGTGTCTTCCGCCAGCTTCCCCTCACTGTCCAAAGGATGGGATGTACTACGCAGATTCCTCACACTGTTTCCAGATTGTTCCAGGGGAGTTAAGCTGGACTGATGCTCGACAACAGTGTTTAGACAGTGGCGGGGATCTGGCAATAGTGACGAGTGACGCTCTGCGTAATCAACTGGCACCTAAAGTCACACACTTGCCACAGTGAGTGTCTTCTGTCTGTATGGGTTACAGAAATGGGACATATATACAGTACCTGCATATAGTACGGTTTGTGTATTAAATTTTACATTTGTGATGTATATACTATATCAGTAGAAGAGGCCAGGCCCTGCACAAAGCTATCAGATACAGAACAGATGTCTTGTCTGCTTGTAAAAACCTGTTACCGTGTTGCAGTCTGCATGCAGCAGTCACAGCAAAAGAAACATTATAACAGGCAAACACTCTGAACAGATTCTCAACTTTCAATCGCTGATGATAACAAAAGTGCGAGGTCTGGAAAGAAGCGTACGTTAAACGAGTCTTCCTTGCTTCTCCCACCCTGTTTGTGTGAACTCGAGAGGCTCATTTGACTGAATGTGACTCCTCATGTTTTTATGTGCACGTGCTGTTCAAACTGAACGACGCTTTCAAGAGCGGCGGTTTTTATTAGTCATTACTTTCTGCTTATGAACTTTGAAATTTGCCCCAGTGATGTTTCCTGTCTTTTCATCTGTTCATTCCTGTCTCTTTTATTTTATTCTGTAACTGCATAACCAACCCTCCCCCCCGGCATCATCATGACAACATGACAACAGTATACTTTCTTTCCACAAACATACTGTAGTAATACTTTGCAGTATGTACTGTACATTTATTTATATGATGCACCAAATATGGATAATGCCCTGGATTTGTAGCAAAGCCAAAAGATGGAAAAGTTTCTGGCCTTGCACTGATCTGAAGGCCTCCAGCGTTGGTTGTTTAGGTCAGAGAAGGTCGCAAAGAACACATCTGTAAAAGCACAGCTGCATTGTAACTTTAACACCCTGTGAGCAGGAGTCCACGGTTCATGGTGTGTGTGTTAATGTGAGGGTAAAGGACCTGCCCTCGTAGACTAAAGGGGATCAGAAGAAAAGAGAGAGGAGGAGATGGATATATGCAGATGGAGCCCATCCATCTGCAGCAGCTCACTTCGCTTCCACTCATGTGTTCCTCCACCCCCTCACTTATATAAGGAATTTTTTTTTTTAATCGGTCCTTGTTTTTTGGCACAAAGACCGGTTTTTTGCTCCCTGTCTGCTTGTATTTTTTCCCTCTGTGGACTCTTTCTTTAATTTTCACAGATGTGAGTAGTCAGGTAGTGAAGAAAAGTCTCACCAAGAATAAAGAGCGAAATAATGAAAACAAGACGAGCAAAGAAACTGCTCTTATCCAAGTCGATCTTTAGACATGTCAGAAAATGACTTTTGTTTCCTACCAACTGTCTTTAGATCATTGTGATTCAAAGATTGGTTTTTCTTTTGGAGGGAAGGCCATTTTGTTTTAGTTACCAGTGTATGATGGAAAGTAAAATGAAAGCTAGGGGGAAATGTGCAGATCATTAGTGAACAATTCAATTGATCTGTTATCACAGTAAATATCTGACTTCCAACTGGGGTTCAGTCTAAGGCCATTTTCATGCTCTCTATGCCCTGCAGTTATTGATTGTTGAAGGCAAGCTGGCACATAATTCATTGACTTCACTGTCACCTATTGAGACCTATGCTGATTCTTATCTGTTTTGTACGTTCGTGTGCTGTGTTGTTGTCTGACAGTACAAACCCATTCACATGGATGTGAATCCACTGATCTTTGCACAGCATGTATAATATGTTCTTTGATCACTCGATGTGCATTTTCTTTCTAGAAATTGGAACATTTGTGTCTGTCTTTATTTTTTAAGCGTTGGAGCCAGTTTTCCAGCTGCCAACAGCCGTGTAGCTAAAGGACAAGCAGGTACTCTGTTAATCTGTGTGTTGTCTGTCCATTTCTGTCCCAGGGTGCGAGGTATGTGGCTGGGCTTGAGTGATGTCAACTCTCCCGGCAAGCTGCGCTGGGTAAACGGCTCGGAGGCACAAGAGGGGGAGGAGGGACAGCCTCCTCGTTCCCAGATCTCCCGTGGAAATGTGTGTGTGTCTCTCGACCAGGGCAGTCAGACCAGGGCACACCCATGTAACGCTGTGCGGGCATATGTCTGTCAGTACAGCCCTCAAGGTAGGCCAAATACATACACACAAAAATATCAAACAGTTCAAATATCTAAAAGCCAATAATCAGAGGAAGAAAATTAAGAGGCACGGATTCAATGCAAGTGCAATTTTCCCAAATCCTTCTGCACAAAGAGCAGTTTGAAAGTTCTTCACTATCAGCTTTATGTAAATTATGTTGTGGCACAAACAAGTGTAGAAAGGCAAAGCAAACAGCCTCCATAACTAATCGCAGGGAAAAGAAGGGCTCTCTGAATAATTGATGATCTGATAATTGGAGCACACTTTGCTATGATACTATTTGCACTTTGTGTAAGAAGCACCTAGAGACTGTCCTTTGTCATTTTCAGCATAAGATCGGATTTGTCTGTTTCAGAATAGGGTCGCATTCACAACCTAGGTGGTAGGCTAGGAAGGAATGGAAACAATCTTAACAACAATTGTAAGGTTGTAGTTTTGTGACCCAAGACCCCACATACATAATTGTAAATATTCCCATTTGTCATCATTCCTATCTGTGTATTCAGTCTTTGTCAAGGAATAAAACATTTCTATAGGCCTGAAAACTCTGAAAGCGGCTTCATAAAGTCTGGCTGGACATCTACACTAAAAGTGGAGCAGATGTGACTGCTCTAGCAAAATTGCTGCTATTGTGAATGTCCAAACACAAAGTGATTACCACATCATAGTTCTACATCATACTGACAGGGATTTCTCCTACTTTGTCCACCCCATTTATATCCTTCAAATAATTATACAGTGAAAGCAATTGGCACATCTCTCTTAAACACCCTGCATTAATGAGGGTTTATTGCAGGGCTGCTTATTAGACTTGGTTTTAGCTAGGTGTAGCTAATAAACCGCAGAGTGTATAACATAACACTTGGTGCAGACGTACAGTAGTTCAAGCTGAAGTTGAATTGGACTGATGACGTCAGAAAGGGTCTTAATGAGGCTGAATTCCTCTAAAGAAACGTGAGCAGTCAGAGAGGCGATGCACTCTAAATCCGCACTCAAAACTCAACTGAAATCCAGTGTCACAGTGTGAAATTCAGTGTAAATGGGTAGCAGGTTTTAGTTTGTGTGTATCTGCCTGGTGGTGTAATTGTGCTGCTTTAGTGCAGTCTGTCTGTGATTCTGTCCCTGTGTTTGTGCCAGTCTGCACTGAGCAAATGAAGTGTTTTTGCAGAGGTCTCTCTTTCTCAGAACAATCTGTGACTGTTACTAACCCTCTGGAGTTGCTCCATCTCTTCTTATAAATTGCCTCCACTGTCTCTCTCCTTTTTTTAAATCCTTCAGTCCTCCCTCCTCTTTTGTTGTCATTCTGTTTCTGTTGCTGCAGTGCGTGTTCCAGATGCAGGGACCTACATGATAGGCCTGGCTGTGTTCCCCTCCCATAATCCTTTGCACAACGCACCATCCTCTCCGCTGTCTGCTCCACAACCTCCCAGCAGTGGCATAGAGGTGAGGAAGAATCTCAGCTTTTTTTTTTTTTTTTTTTTTTTTTTTTTTACATCATTGTAATGTTCTTCTCAAACCTTGTTTGACTTTGTCTATTTTTTCTCAAACTTTCTGTTTACCCTTTCACTCAGGTGCTATTATTCCCAGCTCTGAGCTTTGTTCAGGCAGGCCGTCTGTCCTCACTAGAGTTTGTCACTCAGGAGTTCAGTTCAGAAGTCCATGTTCGCTTCCAGACCTACAGACCTCACTGCCATCATCTTGACCTCCACGTATTGCTACCCAGTGAGTCACACACTGAAACACAGAAGCAGTCTCTCTCACATTCACATACATGGCATGTAAAAACCATCTGCATCTTCCTGGTATCAGCAAGTATTAAACAAAACATGTAAAACACCTGCCGTTGGACAAAAACATCCACACAGACACGCACACTGACCTGCCCTGTCTAAAGTTGTTAGGTAGGTGAACATGAAAGATGAGTTTGAATGGAAACAAAGTAAAGCAGAACAGAACAGGAGAGGAGGGAAACCAGACCAGTCAAGGTCACCTCCCTTCTGCACTGGCAGCACAAAAGACTAAGGGGGGGGGTTCACTGAGACATAGCAGCAATGATATGCAGACAGAGAGCAGCAGAGAGCAAATGCACAAAAGATGTGAGAAACAGAATTCCACAGAGAGGCCAGCAGCTTGTTAAATATATAAAGCACATCACGTAGAGTTTGTGAATGCAGCAGCAGGGGGAGGAAATGTGGGAGATCATGAGAACTGGATTATTAATTACACAGCAGGTAAGTGTGCTCTACCCCACACGGAGATCGGCATCAGCCCAGTGCACTAATTACTGTACATCTTACCTCTCAGGTTGTGGAGGACCAACATGCGCTCCTGTAGCTGTTTGTGTCCCCAGTGACAGCAGTAGCAGTGTTCCACCCCCTTGCCCCCGACTAGAGCAGTGGTGTCCCTTCCAGCGCCGGTGCCTGCCCCTCTCCAGTGTATGCCAATCATCTTCTTGTCCTAACTGCACCCATGGTCATCGTCTGCCCCCTGGGGCGATGAGGCCCCGATACACCCTAAAGAACGAGGTGGTCTTCACTCTGCCAGCAGGTCCAGCTGCACACATACTGGTGAGAGGATTAACCTTTGCCTCCAAACTTATTTAAACTGCCACAGAGTTTATAGTGTTTCTGTTGTGGATGCAAAACAGAAAGTCCAGAGGAAATGGCTGACTTCCAGCTTTGAGGGTGTTTACAGCCAGCTGGGATAAACTGTTAAATGATTGCAGCTGTTGTGCAATTTCATTTCAACAGCCACATTCAATTTTGATTCAGTAAAGAAGACACTTTTTTGCATCCATGTCTATGCCAGGTACAAGAGCAACTGGAGGACCTCCTGGTTTCCCGTGGTGATGTCATTGCCCTGCAGCATGATGCCGGCCCCTCCTCCCTACTACGCTGCCAGCCTTCCCCACACTCACAGTGGCAACAGCCTGTGTTAGCCCTCAACCAAACAGAGTGGTTTTGGATCAACAACACCAGACTGTCAACAGATAGCTCAGCTGACCCTGATGTTGACCCTCTGCTTAATGTGGAGGCACTTGTGGAGGATGGTGAAGGAGGCTGGCTGGAAGAAGTAGTGTGCCCTGTCAGAGTGCTCTATGTGGGACGCAGTGAGACCCAGCTGCAGGGAGCACAGCTGTCTGCTGGTTTACCCCAGCCTGGACTCTACAGCCTGCTGGTAAAAACACCAGAGCTGTACGTTGCATCCCAGCATGCATCTGACTGATTTCAACATGAGGGAGGAGGCTGCACAGAAGTGAAAATCCTATACTGTATAGATTTGCCTGAAAGAATTGTTTTCCTAGAACTCCATTAGTAGATCAAGCCATTAGCTTTCTGATTAACATTTTGCTAGGGATGCAAGTGCATATAATAGGAGTTTATATTTATACCTGACTATAGAGATAATTGTTATATTTAAACGTATGTATTTATCCAGTAATTGAGACAAAATTTTGTTTGATAAATTTCAGGTAACTTCTACTGAACCATCTTATCCAGCTTCTGCATCATGCCCCCTGCGGGTGGTGCCTCCTCTGGGTTTGACGATCCTCCACCCGACTCCCAGGAACGGCACCCTCTACCTGCAGCCCAATGACACCCGGATACTGCTCTGTGTCCAGTCTCCCTATGAAACAAAGGCATCTCAGCATGGCAGTAATCGCAGCGTGACCTTCCAGCCAGAATATCCATCAGAGTTTTCGTCCAGCCCAGCACTCTGTCGGCTTGTGCCGAGTTTGGGGTCTGCTGCCGAGGTCACAGAGCCTAGCCTGTATGTAGTCCTGGAGCTGAGTCTGCCAGTGGAGGAAGAGAGGATTCCAGTGCAGGTGGAGCTGGAGGCCCATAACAATGTGACAGAGGCCAGCTTGATTATAGTCGTCCATCTGGAAGAGCCGCTCAGAGGACTTGTGGTGCGGCCGCACCCTGCACACAGGGTGCTGATGGAATCAGTCGTGGTGAGCAATGTGTGTTTGTGTCTGTGCATATATCATTTGTGTTGGGCAGCTGTATTACAAGTTCATATTTGATATTGGAGTGTTTCTTAATGATATCATCAAATCCTATATTTGTGTGTACTAGAGCTACACAGCATTGGTGCTTAAAGGCTCCAATCCCACATTTAAGTGGACAGTGGATGACAAGCCCTACTTCACCTATTACAACACTGTTCTCAATGTCATCTACCAGCATGCTGCCACCTACAAGCTCACGGTGAGTTTCTATCACATGCTGTTGTCATACTGTCTTCTAATAGCACTCATGCAGGAATATTAACTGTTTTAATTAAGTTCATATGTGACAGGCTTGTTTTTCCAGCTAGTAACTGGGGTGTCTACAAATGCAAATATTGAACAGCTTCACTTGTGATTAGGAAACTTTTTTTTTTTTTTATTTTGTTCCTGAAGTTTGGACAGTAAGGTTGGACTGGGAGGTGTCAACAAACAGCACACACAGTCACCTTGGAACAATATAGAATAGCATGAAAATTGTCAGCAAAGTTATGCTTATCCATTTAAAATTGTATTATATTTGTATATAATAACATACTGTATATAATTACATCGAGATAGAAGAAATCTCTTGCACATTTAATCCTGAACTGACGATTTTATACTCATGTTGTCATATGTTAAAACACTGTATTACCATAACATTGTTTAAGTTGATACCATTTTGATTGTCTTGAAGACCTTCCTGAAATATCCATCCATCCATCCATTTTCCTCCGCTTATCCGGGACCGGGTCGCGGGGGCAGCAGTCTAAGCAAAGATGCGATTTTATTTATTTGTTTATTTATTTTGTTACTAATAATTTGCCACTGCACATTTTGTAATCCGCTAACTGCTGCTGAATAAGTTTTGGTTTAAAATGCTTTAAAAAGTTTTCCAGAGACCAAGTTGCCATCTTCAAAATGCTTTGTTTTCTCCAAGTCCTAAACCCAAAGACCATATTATTTTAAAGAACTAAGAAAACCTGCAAATATTTGTTTTATCATTTTACCAAAATAATTCATTAAGCAGCTTAAATATGTGTGTAATATGTATATTATGATTGCACCCATGTTGGAATCACAGCTACCTTACAAATGACAGAAAACTTGAACTTACCAGCTCTGCGGCATCTCTCTTAGGTGACGGCCATGAACCATGTGAGCACCCTCACCGAGCATTTCAACGTGACTGTGGACCGGCTGCAGCCCATGGCCAATCTCACAGTAAAGGGTGTGCCAGATGTGGTCCCTCAGGGCTCCAACCAGACTTTCACCACTTCTGTGCTCGTGGACATGTCTGTGGCCGCCACCTTCCGGTATGAACAGAGAACGGGTAGACTGACAGGATTAGATAGATGTCTCTGGTGGTGTGTTTTAAAACTAAACTTAAAACAAACAAAACATCTCATTTCTCTGTCTCTTCTTCTCTTTTTTATTTTTAAGGCAGAGTGAAATACCAGCACATCTGTTTGTGTTTGATCGCTCCTTTCCTCTCCTTTATCTGTCTCTGTGGCTTTCTCTTTGTTCTTTTCTCTGTTTTCGTCTTCCTGTGCACCATAATAGCACTGCAGCAGTCATACCATGCAAAGCCTTGGATTTATAACCATGTGGTTAGAGCAGATTGCTGACAAGAATTTTCCCTTCTGCTCGGCTGTTTCCCCTGTCCTTTTTTTTCTCTCTCCCTTTTCTTCCACTCTTGTCCTCCTTGCCTGCTTCACATTCCCACTGTCCCAACTGTGGCATGCTCATTCACTTAGTTTCCCTCCACTCTCACCATTCTTGGTCCAGAGAGGCTTCCTGAGTTTTGAGTTTCCACTTCTCATCATCCCTACCCTCTAGTGCCTTGTCAGAGAAGATTCCCACTTTTGAGCTAGTGACTGTGTGTGTGGATGGTAATGGTTATCAGTGCATCTAAAGATCTGAAGGCTCCCTTTTAATTGTTTTGCATTGTCTCTATTGTGCTGCAGATGGTCTTTTGGTGATGGTGGATATGAGGAGTGGGAATACAAGCCTCCCTATCCCCCTTCCCTCATCTGCCCTGACTCCCCCAATCAGGTTCTCCTAAGCAGCAGTGTCACCTATATCTACTCTCAGCCAGGTAACCCCTCAACTGGCTCCATCTCAACAGTACTAGCATACAACCTTGACCAGTGGAACAGCAGCCATTTTAGTTGGATTTTATTTCAGTTTATGCAAGGTTAAAATGTTTTAAGCCTGGAGGTACAGTACATATAGCTAATTCTAACTCCTTTTCCTTCTTGCTCCCCCCTTTCTTTCCTCTTTCTGTACAGGAATATACCCAGCGTTGGTGTCAGTGTCCAATCATTATGAGAACATCAGTCAGAGCATCAACATGAGTGTCTACAGCATCCTCACTCATGTTGATATACAACCAGAGCCGAAACTCCTCCTCTCTGGCAAATCGGCCGATTTTGAGGCTCATCCTTTCCCCTCACCTTATGGCATTCACTATGAGTGGCACTTTGGAGATGGCTCTGCCCTGATGCATGGTCGTCGTGTGGCGCACACCTATGCACAGTGTGACATCTTCACTGTCTGTGTACTGGTAAACAACACCATCAGTTCTACAAAGGCTTGCCGTGAGATGTTTGTATACGAGGAGATTGAAAAGCTAACAGCTCGAAGCTCCTCTCCCACAGAGCTTCACAGTCCTACTAAGGTGTGGGCACACCTTGCGTCAGGCAATAACATCACATGGACATTCTCGATGGGCGACGGGACCGTCTACACTACATCTGAACCTTGCGTGTCGCACAACTACATCAAAGATGCCAACTACACGGTGAATGTGACTGCTGTGAATGCTGTGAGCTCTGGCTGGACAGTCCTTCTAGTACAGGTGTATGTATTCCAAGTCATAAAAATGGAGCCATCTGGGTGTGTCCAAGAGCGGACCCCTGTCAACTTTTATGCCTGGGTGTCTGGTAACGAATCAGCTCATCTTTATGAATGGAGCTTTGGGGATGGAAGCCCAAACATGACCAAGCATGGCAGCCCCAGAGTCTCACACACTTACTTGACAAGTGGGAACTACCACCTCTCCCTCCTTCTTTCCAGTGAGGTCAACAAAGCGACCAAGGCCAACTTCTTCAACTGGGTGTGTGTGCAGCCAGCTTTGGCCAACGTCAGCCTTACCCTTGAGAAATCACACTACACTGTCGGGGAGGAGATACGGTTTCAGGTCAGAGCTGAGCCAGAGTTTAACTACAGCTATCAGTGGGACTTTGGTAAAGAAGAAGACCTTGTGCACATCCGTGGTTCTGGAAATGGTGTGACAACATATAAAAACCCAGGTCACTACATGGTGACAGTCACCATTTTCAATAATGTCTCCACCAGTAACACCAGTGTCGTGATTGATGTTCTGATGCCTATAGGACCAATTGTTATTGATCATAATGGCACTAAGTACAACAACCTGACTCTCAGAGCACCGTATGCATTCAAAACTTCTTCCTTGGCCTCCAATGTCACTTACACTTGGAACTTTGGAGATGGGAATGTGCTCACAAGCCAGAATACCCATCACACATACAACAGCTCAGGAAACTACAATATCACACTGACAGCAGCCAACACAGTTAGCAGAAACCACACTACTTTACCCGTTGTTGTGCTTGCACCGATCCGTGGGTTAACTGTAAGCGCCAGTTTGGTAAATGTCCCTCTCAATGCCTCGGTCCACTTTGATGCCCGAATGGAGGAGGGTGATGGCGTCCGGTTCTCTTGGATCTTGTGTGACCGTTGCACCTCAATACCAGGGACCCACACCATGTTCTACACCTTCCGCTCTGTTGGCACTTTCAACATCATTGTGACAGCAGAGAATGACATAGGAACAGCACAAGCAAGTATCTTCCTGTTCGTCCAGCGTGAGCTAGAGGGGCTGCAGATTTTAGCAGACGAGGAGGCTGGAGGAGGTGGAGGCATTGGATTGAACGGTTGCTGCTTTGCTACAAATCGTGTCCTCCGCCTTCAAGCAGGATTAAAGGAAGGAACCAACATGACCTTTACTTGGAACCTCATCAGAGAACTAGACTCGAGCTTCAATATAAGCGGGAGGACTGTGGAGGTAAATTTCTCTACACCAGGTCCATGTGACATCTTCCTCCGGGCTACAAACCTCCTGGGTCACTTGTCCGTCAACAGAACCATCCACTTCCTTGTGCCAGCCAGAGGGGTGTATCTGCACATCAGCAACAACCCAGTCGCAGTCAATGTTCCGACTAACCTGACAGTATTGACTATGGAGGGCTCAAACCTGCAGTACTTGTGGAATGTTACAGCGGACACTATGCAGGGAAACAAGCACTGGAAGACACACACCTTCAACAGTCCTGGTCAAAAGGTAGTTACTGTGAAGGTCTTCAATGAAGTTAGCGCAGAGGTTGTGTCAGAGATTGTCCACATCCAGGAAGTCATTTCTGGGCTAACATTCACAGCTACCAATGTAACAGAGCAGAATTATGTAGCAACAGGCGCCAACATCTCACTCCAAGGGGAGGTAGAGGCGGGAACTGATGTGATGTGGACATGGCTGCTGGAAGGAAGAACAGAAACCGGGAGGAAAACATCTCTGATTTTCCAGGAACCAAAGACAGCCATAGTTACTCTAAATGCCACCAATGGTGTCAGCGGGCAAGTGTTTTCCAGGGAGTTCTTTGTTCAGGACAAGATTCAGGGGTTGGAGCTGAGGGCAAGTAAAAAGATTGCAGGAGTTGGTGAGAATGTGGAGTTTACAATTTCCATGGCAGCAGGCTCAGATGTTCGTCTGATCCTCAGCATCAGCGGAGATGCCACCGTTACCCCTCAACCCAATCAAACCTATGTCCACAACTTCAGCAGGGTGGATACGTACATGGTGAATCTCACTGCTCACAACCAGGTAAAATCCAAGCAGATTTTATCACATACATTATAAGAGCTTGTAATATAGATGCTGACAATCCAGTGACGCTGTTCTTGGCACACACACAGTAACTTTGACATCATTAGACATCATTGAACACATTGTTGTTTATTGTGATCCAGTAAGTTATTGCCGCCATGTGACAATCCAGGTGAGTTTCAAGAGGCGGCACCTCCAGGTCGAGGTGATGGAGCCAGTTCGTGGACTTTCCATCCAGGGAAGCTGTGCAGCAATCCCTGTAGGTGAGAAGAGACAGTTTGTTGCCAAGATCCTGACGGGCAAACCTGTTAGTTTCCTGTGGACTTTTGATCTGCACCACCACAAGGCATCACATATGGGCAAAGAGGTCAGCTCATTAAAATATTTAGCCTTTTATAACTATGGCATATCACAATATAGCAAACTGTGCATAAGCTACTAGGCTGCAGAAATGGTGATGTATATCCCCAACCTCAGGTGACCTACAAGCCAGAAGAAGCAGGTTTATTGACCATCTATTTGAAGGCCTTCAATGCCCTGCATGGTCAGAACATCACCGAGCACATCCTGGTGCAAAACCGCCTGACGACTGCCGTCCTGTCTGCTCAACCTGGGGACACTTTCATTAACAAGACGGTGACCCTGGTGGCCTCTGTCACACCCAGTTCTAGTCCTGTGGGGTGCTTGTGGGACTTTGGTGACGGTTCTACTCCAGTTCACACCGACACTGAAACTGTGGGCTATAAGTACAGACGCCCAGGATACTACCTGGTCAAAGTATGTTTCACTGAACTGTGTTATTCCATGTACATACATGGTCTGGTTGCTGATCTTGCAGTTGTGTAATTTTCACCACCTTATTCTTCTTTCTGCTAGGTGAATTGCAGTAACATGGTTAGCTGGGTGCTGGCCCAGGTGGAGGTAACCATCAGTGTATTAGAATGTGAGGAGCCAGAAGTGCAGGTGGTTCAAGCTCCTCGCCTGACCATCTGGCGCTCCCAGGCCACTTTGGTGGAGGCCAGTGTGGATTTAAAAGGCTGCGTATGCTACGGAGCTCAGTACTTCTGGCAGATACTGTCAACACCTTTCTGTGATTATGCCAAAGACTACCAGATTCCTTCTGGGGCGGTGACTAAGCCTTCCCAGTCTGTGCCTGTCTCAGTAATTCACCTGCCTGTGGAGGTGGATGTGCGACGGTTGCAGTTGGCATTGCCCAAGATGACTCTGGCAGCAAGAAACTACAGCTTGGTGTTTTCCCTGTCATATGAAGGTGTGCCACTAAGGAAGGATGCCTGTCTGCAACTCAGTGTCTTGGCTTCCAGGTCAGTAGAGAAATATTTAAATATACAGTATATTTTTGCCTGTAGAGGTATAGATTACATCCTTTCACCCTGTTATTTATAGTTTCTAAATAAATAATTCTACTGGGGAAGCGCAGGATGAAATTAAAGCAATACACCACATAACATTATGATCACTGCCCTGTGAAGTGAATAGCATAGATCATTTTGTTACAGTGGCACCTGTCAGGGTGTGGGGTATATTAGGCAGCAAGTGAACATTCAGTCCTTGAGGTTGTTAGAAGCAGGAAAAATGGACAAGCAAAAGGATTTGAGACTTTGACAAGGGCCAGATTCACACAACATGTGCTGTGAGCCTCAGAGTGACACGAGTGCCAACCACCTGCTGCATTGACTCCTATGTATACAGTATTAGGCAGGTGTTCATAATGTTATGGCTGATCAGTGTAAACCGTGGCAAATGCTGTCACTTTGAATTCATACCACTTACAATATATTTTAATAGTGACCTAATTTTATGGCCATAGGAAAGGATTAACCCATCCGCAGAATCTTCTCAAACCACAATTATAATTATCAGGTTCTCTGATGTTATGCTTATACTCAGTATGTCCATAATACATTTTTGCCAAAACATGACTAATTACTACCATATCAAAGTTTATCTACATAAATGGGCAGGACAGTGATGGAGATGAGGTCATCTGGCATAGTTCCTATTTGTCGGTGACATCTGGAAGTTGCCCCCAGCTCATGCTCTTTATACATGTATACACTCTGTAATTCTGTCATTCTGATTATTCAGACTCTAAATTTACAAAGAACTCTATTCTGTACACACATTTATTGCATGTTTATCCATGCTTCAAGAGGGATCCCTCCTCTGACCATCTGCTCCTCCTGAGGTTTCTTTTCTCTTTCCCACTAAAGATTTAGACGTGCTACTTTATAGGACAGAACATGTTCTGTGCTGGACAGATTGTAAAGACTCTTGAGACAAATTTGTGATTCTTGATATTGGCCTATATAAATAACAATTTATTTGATTTGCTGGGCAATGATAATAATGCCTTATGTGGTCTTCTCTGCCAGAAGACCACATAAGGCACCAGGCTGCTATACTGAAATGTACACCCAGCCTGTGAAAGGAAACAGTGAGAAAGCCTGGATGTTGGGTCAGCCAACCAGCTTGCGTGCCTTGCAGGTCTGCATTATGAACTGTTGAGATTAACTTAGAACACCCTTCTATGCATAGGCTCAAAAAGACATTTATATGCATCTCCACAGAAGATGCATGTAAATTCCAGCCTAATGCGGTTGATCTATTAATAAATTGTACTACTTCATCTTTTAACCCTATTTCCTCATCAGGTTGATGCCCATCATAGAAGGGGGCACTTACAGGGTGTGGTCGAGGACCCAGGACCTGCAGCTCAGTGCAGAAAAGTCCTTCGACCCCAACATGGACCCAGACAAGCAGTCACTACTCCACTACCACTGGGAGTGTCAGAGTACCTCAAAGGTAAGGGTAGGCACGAAAAGCTGCTTTCACATATTACATCTGAAAACATTTAGATTAGGTTTTCTAATTCAATTTTAGCAATTTTGTGTGGCTCACATTAGTGACAACTTTCTGACTTTAATAACCTGTTTCCAGTCACATCACTATACGTTAATATACGACCAAGCTCTAAAAACACATTACAGTAAATTAGAGTTGTTGTTTTTATATGCAGCAATTAGTACCTTAAGGTTCATAATTATCAAGTAGAATGGTGAATAAACAAGTGTTTTTAAAAGTCTGCAAGTATAAAAGAATACATGGTTAAACCGGATTGTCGCTCACTGTTCTCTCAATATTTGACTGAGAATTGAATAGTTGAATAAAAATGAAAATGTGTTTGGGGGGGATTGTGAAAGCATGGCAGAAATAATGTGAAACTCATTCTGTTTACACGGTTACACTGTGGGTACTCAGTGTCCTTATGGGGACAAAAAGCAAGTCCCCAAAACTTAGATCATTACATTTTAGAGGGATGACTTGGTTTAAGGTTAGGGGTTAAGCAAGTAGTGGTTAAGTGTTAGATAGGGTAAGTCTCCAGGAAATTAATGCCAGTCAATGTAATGTCCCCTGAAGTTATGGAAACACACTGTGCATGTGTGTGCACTATACATCTAAAAAGACAGATATTTAAACAGCTTATATAACTGTGTAGACATAAACTTGGCATTCCACAGCTGGTGCTTTGCTCACCACCATGACAGTTACACACTTGCACGCAAACACACACACAGCGCTGTGGGGAGTTGGTGATAAAGTAAAAGGGCACAGAGTTTGAAGCAAAAGGAGCAGACTAAAACAAAGTTGTCCTTACTTAAATACAGATACAGTTGTTGGTTAAAAAGAAAGAAACACATTATATTGAAACATTTTGCTGTTCCCTGGAGGACAGCTGGGTAGTGCCGACACATCAAATATCAGAACATTTGCAACAGTTTGTAGTTGATGACCATCCAAGCGAGCAAGGTCACTTTCTTAAAATCAAGGAGCATTGGTATTAGGGCCATAAAAAGAGTAAGCACCAAATTTATCATGGCAAACACTAAACTTCTAAAAGGAAGGCAGTGGAATATATACACTTTGTATTAGGAATATAAAATGAAAAGTATACACAAATATATGAATGTGCTAGGCTGCAGGGTTTTATGAACGAGGGCTAATAAGTGAATCTATAAGATACAAGTAGCTGGTGCAGTGTTGTGAGTCGTGAAGTGGTTTTAGCATTAATCCTGGCTGCAGCCTTCAGACATAGTCATTTTATTATGAACATCTTTAGATGATCCTTGAAGAGAAAATTACAAAGCAACTTATCACATCGACACCAATCGGTATCCTTTAGTAATGATCTATCTTATGCAATGTTGCTAATATGAAATGACTTTTGTTTAGAATAACATATAAAACTGAAATTATGAAGTTCTTAAGTAAATAAACTTGAATGTCTTTTTCTTGTTTCTTTTGATTTACTGCAATGGTGTAAAACTAATAGGTTTCATAAAGAATATGCTGCTGTAATTATGGTCTGTTTTTCTGTGTGCAGGGTCCAGAGCACTGCTCCAGTCTGAACTTTGGCCTGGGCTCCAGTGGTCCGGTGCTGGGAATCTCCGGCTCTGAGCTGGAGGCGGGTGTTGAATATACTTTCAAATTGACCATCAGCAAAGACGGCATGGCCCCAGAGTCCACCACACAGACTGTGAGTGCACATAGATTCCTGCACACGTGAATATATGCATGCTTTAAATCAGTAGTTCACAACCGGGCATCAGGACCCCTCAGGTAGGTGATAAAATGATAAAGGGGAGGGAAAACAAAATAAACACACATAACCCTCCTACTTAGATTAGAATTTTGTTTATACTGTAATATACTGCTATTCTTTTTTGTCAAATATTGAGTAGTTTTATCTTTAACTGAAAAAACCACAGTGGAAGATGCAATTTAGGCAGTGGTTGTGTTTGTTTTGGCTTTTGTTCCTTGACTATTAATGTACAGTAGTAGGAAGTTATTGATTAAACAGTGAGGATGTTCAGTATCTTCAGCTTCTGTTTCATCATACTTAAAAGCATGTGGACAGAACTACACCGATAAATAGATCATCATCATCATAGCAAATCAATCCATCCTCTGTGTGTGATCAAATAAACACACCTTTCCACTAACAGAAGCAACCATGGTAACGGTACTCAACAAAGATGGTGACAGCTGTAACCTCAAAATGCTTAGAGGATACACATACAACAATTGCAGGACTAATATTTGACTAAATTGTCACTGACAAACACTAGACCAAAATATATTTTATAATAATTTTGACTAAAACCAGACTAAATAACAAAAATGACTAAAACAAATACACATGTTCATCAAAGACTGAAACTAAGTCATGTGGCAAAAATAACACTAGGCTGTTGTCTGTTCATGATGTTTCACTTGAGGATTTCGCAGAACTTGTATCTGATGTTACTCATTCTGTACTGATCAGATAATTGGCTGTAATTACAATATTCAGTCTCTTCAAATAATGATTGCACCATTCTGTCAACTTGTCAGTATTCCCTGTTCCTTTCTTCCAAGGTTTTGTTTTGCTGTCTCTTGTTCACTGCCTACAAAAACACTTGAGGCTTTTATTGGATGTAATAAAATACATCCTAAGATTAAACATCAAAAGGCAGTAAGAGTGTAATCCGAAGAAAGTAAATGTCTTCTACTGAAATATACTGTAACATGGCATACAACATACTGTGTGGTACTACTGTATCAGTGCACACATGTGACACAAAGAAATGGAATGAATGACAAATACATGTGGATCACAAAATGTTCATGTTGAAGATTTGTGTGCTTAGGTTGTTGGGAAGGGTAAGGTCGGTTTCCTGATCAGAGAGGCTATATCCTCTCCACATGAATGGCTGACATTCGAGGGTTTGTGTGTGCGTGTGACAGGTGCTGGTCCAGAGTGGCCACATTCCTATGGTGTATCTGGAGTGTGTGTCCTGTAAGGCCCAGTCCATCTATGAGGTCAGCCAGAACTCGTATGTCTACCTACGAGGGACCTGCACCAACTGCCAGGGATTTCACCGTGGGGTAAACACACACACAGGGTCTAAATCCAGCTCTTTGTTTCTCAGCAAAATGAGGTCAGTGCACCACAGAAGTGACAGTGAAGTCAAGATTTCCAGTTCCTCTCCTACTTGTCTCCTGTTTCACCTCTCCTCCTCTCTCCCTTAGTCAGACTTTCCCTGGGATTTGTGATGCAGGCCTCAGTGTGTGGGTGTGAGAATGAGGTCATTGTACAACTGGAGCCAGATTGAAAATGTTACTGTATGTCCTTACTAACACAGGGAAACAATTTGAAAGACAAAACACTCATAGAGAAACTGGGCCTCAATACCAGCTGACTGTGTTGTCAGCTTTCACGCTGTTCTGTTGTTTCCACACTGCACCATGGTCATTTTTAACATTTTTAATATGCTTTGCATATGTATGACTACATGCATATACTGTATGTCAACAAAGGGTTCAGTGCACAGCATCAAACAAGTTGGGTTTCAGCCACTTTACTGCCATGTGAGCATGTGTGGAAGCAGTCAGAGTTGCAGTACATGTTGCTGGCAAAGACGGACACTGTACACTGTACATGGTTGGTGTAGTAAATGGCGACTGAAGATAAGTTTGTGTTCTGTATTGGCCAGGCTCCTTTGTTGTGTATATAAAGAAGTACAAATATTTAGGCCTCACTTTAGATGAGCCTTTTACATATGAAATAGGAATAAGGATCCTGTTGGACTCTGCTGGAGGACTCTGGGGGCTGTTATGAATGAAATTAAGCTTTGTGAAGATCTTGGATACAATATATACATGTAATTGTGTTAATATTACAGTATAGATTGCAGTATATGTTCACATAATGTTGTTGTAGCTCAGTTTTTGTTAAAAGCTTGTCATCAATGACCGGACCGGGTACACTTTAACTGCTCAGGTGGGAGGAAGGAAGGAGTGACCATGCTTAAAAGCTTGTCATCAATGATCGAGAGCCTTGTGTTTAAATTGTTTAGTTTGTATCAGGTATATGTAGTATTATTGTCAATTTTCTTATTTTGTTATCGTGCCTCTGAAGATAATGCAAATAGTGTCTTGTAATCCCATCTGGGCTGAACACCTGTAAGTGTATGACAAATAAAGATTCATTCATTCATTTAGGCTGATTAAGTAGCTTGCCATCAGTACAATCTCTTTCTTTCCTTCAGCGCTGGAGTGCCATGACACTGCAGAACGAGACTCTGGTCCTTGACTCCTCGTCCACCACTACAGGAAGCGATGGCATGAACCTGGTGTTGCGGCAAGGCGTCGTGCGCCACGGAGAATCCTACATCTTCACTTTGCACGTGACCGACAGCAGTCTGGATGGCGAGGGTGCCGCCTCGATCACACTGCATCACAACATGCCCCCAGCCGGCGGGGAGTGCCACCTGAGATGGGGAGAGGAGGCAGGGGTGCAGTACGGAGATGGAGACAGTGAAGTCTGGAGGATACGCACACTCCTGGACCGGGTACACTTTAACTGCTCAGGTGGGAGGAAGGAAGGCGTGACCATGCTTTCACACACCTGAATCAGAAATTGACTGGCTCACTGTCATCCTTTGCCTTTGCTTAAAGTTTTTAAAGTTGTTAAATCTGTCAAGTCTCATTGGCAAATTTCTCTCTCATCACCTATTAAGAAAGAATCATCATCACTGTCTTTTTCTTTTGTTTATTCTTTTTGTCTATCTCACTTTTTTGCTCTCTAGGTTACATTGATCTGGGAGTTTCAGAGACGCCCTTGCTCTACAGTCTGCTGGTGACTCGCTGCAGAGAAGACTACTGCGAGGACTTCTGTGTGTACAAAGGTAGTAGTCCAGAGCACTCTGTCTTCCTGCCCCCAGGCTTCAGCTCAGCTCGACACCGTGTAGCTGTGTCCATCACAGTGGAGGACCACCAGGGAGCTTCCATCACAGCACTCAACAAGTAACTACATTCTTCTGTACTGTTTAGTTCAGGCAGCATGAGGTCAATTAAATAAGACTCAGACTTTAAACATTTTTTGTTTACACCCCAGGCTGCTGGAGCCGACCGAGCCTGCACATTACTGAGGTTTTTCTGAGTGGTACAGTAAATCCCTGCCATTGCTAAGGTTTTCTGCTCGTAACTGCTAACCTTCCTGTAGATGTAGAAAAGCCAAAAGGTTTCACCAGTGAAAACTTAATAAAACTTAACTCTGAGTCAAAGAGCATGTGCCTATAATGATGGCGGTCATAGCAAAGTCTTGCTAGCAGCTCTGAGACTGAACTGTGATGTTTTGAGCTAAATGCTCACGTCACACTGGTGAAATGCTCACAGTGACATTCCCAACATAACAATGATGACGATGTTGGACCAGTATAACGCTTAATCATGTTCCACAATCTTAGTTCAGCATTAATAGTATTTAACATGAAAAGTAAGTGGATTACCAAAATTATTACTGTTCATCCTGAGCAGGAAATAAGTTGAGTCTATGTGCCAGCGCATAGATTGTATATGTGAATGGACAACGTGACAGCTCCCAGAAGTAGAGGCACCACAAGTCGATGTCCCCCTCGTGCCTGGTGGCAATACAGGTCATAAAACCTGCTCCCTCTTGTTAGTGGACCCGACATGATCCAAACTAAAAATCCAGAATACAAATGTATTAAATCTTTCCCAAATGTGATTTTGTGTGTCATTTTAGGTTGATATTATCACACTGATCTGTGTACAAGTGCTCATTTTTTTGAGAATTTTGTTTTTAAAAAGTGATTTGATATAAAAAAAAAAAAGGGGTGTGTTTCCAGTGATTTGACAACTCTACTGTGCAGAATGTGGATGAAAAACGTGTTTCAAAAGCAAGATGGCTGCCCTCATATTGGCGATATTTTGGTTTTGCTTTTACGTAGTGGCGATGCATTGTTTTTATATACACTCGAGGTCAATCCAACAAGTAGATGTTAGGATATTTCACAGGATCATCAAAGTCATTTTGATTTCATCCTTTGTTTCATCCATCCAACGGTTGTTGAGAGAGTTCAGTCTGGATCAAAGTAGTCAACTGCCTGGCCAAGACTGCAACGCCACTTGTATGGTTAAAAACCTCTTATAAATTTGTGAAATTCTGAGTAAAAACAAAATTTTATCCAAAAATTTAACCGTCTTTCGAGGCCAAACCACATTACAGTCCTTACACCCACATGTAGGCAAACACATGCACATCCACACATATAGCAAAGTTAGATACACACTATACAGTTACACTGTGTTTTGTATTGTATTTGTGTCCAGATCTATTGAAGTTGTGCTGCCAGATCCGCCCCCTGAGTACAGCAGCCTTCCACACTGGCTGTCTGAGCTGACAGACAGCAAACTCAAAAAGCTGCTGGAACAGGGAGACTCACAGAGGGTCAGAGAGTTATCACTGGCTTTTATTACAGTCCTAAATGAGGTAGGTGAGCCCCAGTCACCCAGCATTAACTAATGCATCCACAGTGTCCATCTAAATAATCATCAATTTATAATAAACATACTTAAACCTGCGTGTACTCACTTTCAGTATGAGCAGACCAGGGAGTCAGCGCGGGTGTCTCGAGACGAGCGTGGTTATCGAGTCAGAGTCCGCAGCAATATCACCAGAGCTCTGACGGCTCTGGACCTGGCCACTGTTAATGACATTCAGCAGACCTCTGCTGCGCTAGCACAGTGCACGGTGAGCCAGAGGAGAGGGAGGGCATGTGGACATGAAAGCATAGAGGGCTGGAAAAGAAAAAAACAAGCTGTGAAAAGAAAGGCATTAACAAGCAGAAAAAGCTAAGAAATAACCATTTGCGTTTTGCAGGCGGTGAGCCGAGAGTTCATCTGTGAAGAGTGTCAGAACAGCACTCTGAACAAGCTTGAGTCCATGCTGGAGATTTTGCAGAATGACACCAAGCAGGGCACAGTCACGCCTACTGAGATCGCTGACAACATCCTGAACATCATGGGTAAGAACAGCATTGAGTGTTTCCTTATTTTTGAATAGTGTCTCAAAAACTGAACAAAAATAAGCTGCAACAATAGTTTGGTGTTAGCATCAAGTCATTTATTCATGTATGTTTTCACCTAAGTGCAGGGTGATGCCCTGTCACTACTGTTGCTTATAACATTACATATTTAACCTATAAACAAAGACCTTGGGAAGCAAGGGCTGTCATTAAATGCACTGTAGACATGATGGGGTTATTCAGCTGGCACTGAAGCAGAACACAAGGCAGTGAAGTGCAGCTACAAATAGAGCTGCATAGCACTACTGTAAAACCACTATTTCTGCTCATAATAGAACTCTATTTATGGTGCTTGTTCTATAAGATTCAAATCATTTATTCCTCCTTGTTGCTCATGAGTCTTGATCAGCTGACTAACTGTATTTCTTGAAAAGCCTTTAACACTATATACTGTACACACCAACTCTCCACTTTCCAGAATTTTATTTATAAAAAAATATAAACCAGCCTGAAGGAAATTAGAAGCTGTACATTTCTTTTCCTCATCTTTCATAGTTTGACACCTTTCGTATCTTCTCCATCTGGCCAGGTGATCTGATCCATCAGGTCAGCCAGTCAGCCGCCTCCCAGTCTTACCTACAGCCTTCCTATATGGATTCCCCCTCACCCTCCTTCACCTCCTCCTATTCTTCCTCTGGTGAAGAGCAAGGAGGCACCCTGTTGGACCCCTCACCCTCCTCACTGGAGCCCCACCCTCTGCGTGTGGCGGCGAAGGCTTACAGCCTCTCCTCAGTCCTCATGCTGATTCTCATGCATGCTCGAGTGCTCAATGAAGAGCCCCTGGTGCTGAGAGGAGCTGAGATTGCAGCCACAGGAAAACTGGCAGACCCTCAGAGCCTGCTCTGCTACCATGGCAACAACAGTCCAGGTAGGGTAGGCATTTGTACTGTGTCTCATGAGTTGATGTTCCAGTAGGTGGGAAGCAGGCTATGTTACAAACAGGACTGCGAAGAAACACTGTATTCTCTTCTGTTCAACTCTTCCTTTTTCCTCTCCCTGTATTTCCAGAGTGCCAGCGGTTCTCCATCCCCCGAGCTTTCAACAGCAGTCTTGGCAGAGTCGCTGCAGGAAACAGCGTCATGCAGCTGCTGTTTCAGGTACCATCAGAAAACATCTAATGTGATGGGATTTATTACTTCAGAGCTAGATGTGCTCTTTTTTGTGTTTTCACAGCTTTTGTTTGTCATTTTCTCTACACTTCACTTTATGATTTTCCATCCTTTGTTTTCTCCCCAGGTGGAGTCCAACCCCTTCCCTTTCAACTATGTGGCCAACTACACCATCTCTACTGAGGTGGCATCCATGGAGTTTCGCACTGAAAATGGCACCCAGATTCCCATATCAGGACTGGACGACAATCTAGCCATCACTGTTGCCATCAACAATGGCAGTAGTGGAGAAGTGGGTGCTGAGCGTTCTGGAACTGGACGGGTCCCCACAACAGGAGCCGTTAACATCAGCCACTGTGACTCCGTCATTGTTAGGGTCAGCACGGGAAACACTAACAGACAGGCAGGGCTGTTTGTGCAGCTCAACTTCACCTCTCTGCAGGGTGAGCTCTGACGTTCATCACATACACAGTGCATACATATACTGAGGGTGGACACAATGATAGGAACAGCTGAACAGTTTAATGTATGTAACGCAATAAACTCATTGGTTAAACTTATAATGTTCATTTCTTGTTGTTGACGTGTCAGGAAGGTGTTCTGAAATTATAAATTTAGTAGCAGTTATAGCCTTTCTATTTTATTATTCTCACTTGTTTGTCCTGTTGTCATATGTCCAAGCAGCTGTGATGCTGTTATTTTCTCTTGGGGATGATAACAAAGACCCATTTTGTTGGTTTAAAAGAGCCTTGCTTTCTTTATACTTGAAGGGCCATCTAATGTTATTATGTTGCCAGAAATAATATATGACTATCAATCTGGTGTTTAATTGCAGCCGAGATAGTGACAGGGTGGATTTTAAATGGGCTGGCCAACAAACAGGAAGATGACATACTATCTGTGTATGCTTTAACATAACAGGTACAAATAGTTTAAACAGCACTCACCGAGCTCACTTTATGAATTTATAAAGTCTGGTTTGGACATTTAGTGACAGCATGGTCTCTAAGAGTTTTGATAAACAGGGGCCTTGTTTGTTTTAACTGTTTCATATCGTTTTATGCTTGTATTTGTGTCTATACTGATCCAGTTTCTCATTCTTTTTTCTTACCTTCTCCAGAGGCCAGAGAGAAGGGTAAAAGAGAAGAGGATGGGGAGCCTTACATCACAGCTTACCTTCACTCCCATGAACAACCAAATGAGTTCAACTGCACAGACAGAAAACGCATCACACTCGGTATGACCAGAGAGCAACATCTGGACCACAGGAAATACACCTTCTTCCTGTCACCAGAGTAAGAACCCTTGTTCATTCACTGCTTCGCAATATGATGTGTAATTAACATGCAGAAAGTTAGTTTACAATGTGATACTTTTGTTTGCAATAACCAGGGCCTGTTTATTTTGGATATTGTTTTCTGCCTTCTGACAAACAGTGTCATGTCTGTCCTGTGCTACACAGGTCCTATGACACCACATTGGACTACTTTATTAACGTGAGTACACCCTGCAGCCCTGGCTCTCAGCCAGAGGGTGTTCATCTGGAGGTTGGGGTGTTTGCCTCTCTGTGTCAGTACTTCAGTGAGCGTGAGAAGCAGTGGCGGACAGATGGCATGGTGCCTCTGGCGGAGACCAATGCCAGCAGAGCTGTCTGTCGCACCAGGCACCTCACAGCCTTTGCTGCAGGCCTGTTTGTACCAACCAACGCCATCAGTTTTAAAATGCCGGTCAGTATTGCACAATCAAACACTCTGTGTGCACATTCAACAGATAAACACACACTAAAACCATTTGCCTTCTTGTCTAGGAGCGTTCTGGTGCACCGAGCCTGGTCGTGCTGTTGGTGTGTGTGTTAGGCTTACTAAGCTATGTTGTAGCATCAGCCATCTTGCACAAGTTGGACCAGCTGGATCTACGCCGGGCTGGCGTGGTTCCTCTCTGTGGTCAAGACGCACTCTTCAAGTACGAGATTCAGGTCAAGACTGGCTGGACTCGAGGGGCAGGTGAGTTAGGGTCACTGTTAAACAACAGCAAATGTGATAAAAAGTTAGCAGAGGTGTTGTTTACATAGCTTGGAGTAATAAAATAAGTATATAAAATAATGTTGGTTATTGCCACATATTCCGATTAATTTATCAATAACTTGGTTAACCTTTTAAAACTAATCAACAGTGAAACATGTCTACCATATGTCCTAGAGCCCAATGTAATGTTGAATGGTCTTATACTTGTATAGTGCTTTACTGTGCAGTGCAGCACACTCAAAGCGCTTTCACACTATTTGGCCATTCACACTCCCAAGCACTTACACATTCACGCACCGTTGTCATCACCGGGAGCAACAGGAGGTTCAGTGTTTCGCTCAAGGACACTTCAACATGTTGAGTGGACAAGCCAGAAATCAAACCGCTAATCTTCCACTTAGGAGGCGACCCACTGTGCCTCCTGAGCCACAGCCACCCCCATCTTATTTTGTCCAACCAATGGTCCAAAACACCGAAGATACTCAGTTTGCTGTAAGGTAATGCAAAAAAATGCAGCCCACTCTCCCGTTTAAAGGAGCTGGCACCATCAACTGTTAAGCTCCTTTGATTGAGAAATTCTAAAAATAATTCAATTATCAAAATAGTTGCTTATTAATGTCCTGTTATTTCAGTAAATAGTAAACACGATGAACTGGAGAAGAGAGCCTGTGAATGAAAGATTCCACATTTTCAGGGGCATTTATGCAAATTCCAGTTACGATATTAATACATATAAAATGTGGTGATTGAAAGGAGTCATAAAAACTGTTTGTACAAAGTTAAACTTTATTCAAAATGGTTCATATAGTGAGTCTCTGTCTTTTTAGGCACCACAGCCCATGTAGGAATCAGTTTGTATGGGCGTGAGAGCCGCAGTGGACACCGCCATCTCGACAGCAGAGGAGCCTTCACACGCAACTCTCTTGATATCTTCCACATTGCCACAGACACCAGCCTGGGCAGTATCTGGAAAATACGAATTTGGCATGACAACAAGGGTACAGACACAGGGGCGCATACACAGAGCAGAAAACCTTGTAATCACAAAATGTTTAGCCATCTTATATTTGAGGAAACCATCCCTCCTTGATCCTCCCTCAGGTCTGTCCCCAGCATGGCTGCTACAGTACGTCTTGGTGAAGGACTTACAGACAGGAAGCAGCTACTACTTCCTGGTTGAGGAGTGGCTGTCAGTTGACAATGAGAGAACTGATGGACGGGTAGAGATTGAGGTGGAGGCATCAGGTAAAAAACTACAATTAAATCATCCACATGTTATGATGTCTAACAATTTCTGGACTCAAGTTCAGGACAGGGACAGATGGTGGAGTGAAGGGAAGGACGAACAAATTGCTGAGGTCCTTGGCAGTGTGTGGCAGCAGAACAGGCTAGGGACTTGCAGCGAGTGGCTGGTTGGTCTGTGGTCTGTATGGCAGGCAGGGAAAGCTGAGTTGGCAGGAGTGAACCTGAGGCAGCAGGAAGGGAAGAAGGGAATTACAATGCAGAATCAACAAACTGGTAGTACTCTCACTGAGAGATGAAGTGGCCAGCGTGTCAGTGCCACTTGGCAAACTGAACGATCCGATGGAGAATGGAATGCAGAGCTGGTGTTTTAGTGCAGTGGAGCTTGATTGGAAATGAATCACAGGCATGTAGGGCAGCAGGAACAGAATGAACCCTCACACCCAGACACACACACATGCAGAGAGAGAGGCAAACAGGGAACCAACAAGAAACACAGGGAAGAGGAAACAGAGCCACAAGGGGGAGGCCCAGCTGGACCATGACACCATAAACATCTGCTGGTGGTTGATGCCGGTCTGTTCACTCCGCTGTATTTCTTCCTGTTTCCATCAGAGGAGGCTGTGCTTCGCAAGATGCCCCGCCTCCTGCAGTGTGAGCTACAGAGGGCGCTGTGTGAGAGTCACCTGTGGCTGTCCCTCTGGGAGAGGCCCCCCCGTAGCCCCTTCACCCGTCTGCAGAGAGCCACCTGCTGCGCTGTGTTACTGCAGCTCTTCATATTGGCCAACACACTGTGGTACAGCATCGTGGTGGACAAGAGATCCAGGTATAGGAATATTTGTTTCTCTGTCTTCTCTGTGTCCCCGTTATTGTGCATTTCCACATTGCAAATCCTGGTGATTCGGCCTTGCATTTGAGTCCTGTGCTGCAGCCCACAGGCCGTGTCAAAGATGTCTTCACTAAATGGAGAGACAGTGGCAGCAGGTCTGGTGACCTGTCTGATCGCCTACCCTCTCTACCTGCTTGTCTTCACACTCTTCAGAATGAGCCGCAGCAAGGTAACACAAACCAGCCCGAAACTTTATCATCAGCAGTTCACTACTTCCCATAAGCTAAGCTGAATGTATTCTCTGTATGTGTGTGTGTGTGTGTGTGTGAACGTCAGTGTGTATCTGTGGAGCAGGTGCCATCACAAGTGGACCAGGAGTCGGTGGAGATCGATGACTTCCTGGACAACTCCATGGCTGGAAGTTCATTCCTCTTTTTTAATGGCGAGGTACAATCTGATGGGAAAAGACTGGGATTTTAAATTGACTCATGCCTGATATAGTTCAGATGTCTTAATGTATTTTTTACTCTAACATGAACTTGATTTGAATCTCATTGTTCTGGCCTAGTGATTGTTCAAGAAAAGAAAGGAATGCAATGGGTCAGCTTTCCTTTGCCAGGGTCAGGAACGGCTCAGAGCTACATGATTCCAGTGTCAACAGTTAAATTAACTCATGATAAACAATAAAACGGAGGAAAGCTTAATTCTGTACACATAAAACAATATTACTGATGCCCTGCCTGGCCTAACATAACCCTACTACAGCCCCACCCCCCCATCTGTCTTAATCACCTTTCTTCAGTGCTGGTGGTACAGGGTGGGCTCTTATTGTTTAACCTCCATTTCTCCCTTCCTTTTATTCATATATACACTTATTACTAGACTGCATAGAGTTGAATACACCCTCACATACACAAACCACATGTTAAATCTTCCCATGTTTTGGTTCTTCTGTAAATGTCCTGCATCCATTATTTGTCTTTAGTGTCCTGTCCTGTTAAGGTGCTGTTTTATGTTGTAATATAAGGAACGCTGCAGTCAGGCAAGGAATAATTTGTTTTCTCTCATGATGTCATCAGTGTATGTCCCTCTCTTTCTGTCTCACTTTGTCATTCTCAGTCTAACTCGGAGGAAACCAACGTGGATTTGCACACTCTATCAACCAAAAGGTGAGTTACTCTGTTATCATGGCAAGTGAGAGACTAAAGAGCATGACAAATAAAAATAAAAGGTCAGATAGTTTGTAATAAAGAGTATTCTGCTCTAAAAAGACTGAAAAGATACAAAATGTTTTCTTGAATGTCAGAGGAGTAAAGTGATTTCTCTGTCACAGAACGGGTATAAATTCAAAGCCATAATTGTTTCAGCACTGAGCCCAGTGCTGTTACAACACCAATTTTGTTCTCTGAGAAACTCATTGTTTCAATTTTAAGACAAAGATGTTTAACTGAATGTTTTGCTGAGGTCACACTACATAATAAACATCACTCATGGTTCTCTGCAGTGAGGAGAGTTGGGGCACAGCAGAGGATGAGACTGAGGACAGGGATTGGCCAGAGCTGTTGAGTGACGTGTCTGTGGTGGGAGAGGTGGGGCATGGGGCAGGGATGCCCAGGTTGAAGAGGGGTCAGGGGAGCAGGCACCTGGGTGTTGACATGGCCTTTAACCCTGATGACGACAAGGGGACTGATCAGCGCGACAAATATTTCACCTCATCAGGTAACCGAATGCAATGTAGTTGCATGGGAGTTTAAACTAACAACAATTATTGTTAACAGTTATTCAGTATGCATTTGGCTGTATTATTACATTGTTTGTCAAATGGGAACAATGAAGTACAAACTGAAGTTCAGCTACTTTTCCCTTGCAGACGAGGATCTAATCAAACACATCCTGGCAGATGGACAGAACTTTTTCCCTCAGACAGATGAAAGTGAGATGGCTGACTTGTAAGTTTGAGCTTCGAACTCCCTGAATTTTCAGTTTACAGAATCAAAGAATTACTAGGAATTCTTGGAACATTTGTAGACTTAATTGTATTTACATCACTTGTATGCCAGGTCGAGTATTTTTGGAGATAAGACTGAAGTGATTCTCCTCCAGAAACTGAATGAACCTCTTCCTCTAGAAACTGTCAGAAGGGACCCACCAAAAACTGCTTTCACCTCAAACACAGGTAGGTGTGTACTGTGTGTAGAGGAAGGAATATTTATCAAACAACTAACAGCTCTTTTAAAGGTTGCAAATTACATCCTTCTTTCCCTTGATTGTGGGGACTGTGCCCTTTTATAACTTTTAGATCTCACTGTAGCATTTGATAAAGTTGACCGTAAGATTTTATCTTGGCTTGCACAGTATGTTTGGTTGCATGGCAGTCTTAAAATGGTTGCGGTCTTATTTGCCTTGTAGGAGCTTTGAAATTAAGATCAGTCAGTGCTCCTCTTCCACTACTCCACCAACCTCTGGTGTTCCCCAGGGGTCTATTCTTGGACCAGTTCTGTTTACTTTGTATATATTACCTCTTGGGCCCATACTGGAGAAGCATGGCTATTTTTTCACTTCTATGCTGATGACGTACAAATCTATATACTGCTGAAAGCTAGAAATTGTACTCCTCCATTATTTGATCGAAAGACATCAAAATGGTTATCACAGAATTTCTTGCATCTTAACGACAGCAAAACCGAATCTGTTCTATTTGAAAATCTTTATTCTTTGTCTACCTGCAACCTTGGTCCTCTAGTATGTCATTTAAAAACCATTATAAAAATTTGTTTTATTTGATGAGTTGAAATTTTAGAAATAGTGCTGTTGTTAAATCTAGTTAATTATTTAGCAAAGTTAAACCTTTCCTTTCTTTGTGATCCATGCTTTTATGAGCTCCAGATTAGACTATTGTTAATGCTTTGTATTCTGGGGTCAACAAATTTTTACTTGGGGAAACTTCAAGTGGTGCAAAATGCTGCTGCACATTTCTTGATGGGCACTTCCATATTTGACCATATATTGCCTGTTCTTTCCTCTCCATTAGTTACTTGTCTGTTTTAGGATTTAGTTTAAGTTACTGTTAATTACATTTAAAGTATTAAATGGTAGGGCCTCAGAATACCTTTCTGATCTCGTACAGTGGCACAGGTCAAATAACATCGATCGCGCTTGTTTGGTAGTGAAACCAAGACTCTGGAATTCCCTACCTTTAAATATTAGGTCTGTCTGTGATCTGTCAGAGTTTAAATCTACACTAAAAAAACCTATTTGCTTGCTCTGGCCTATGATTCCTAGTGGAGTTTGCTCATTTTTGTGATTGTATTGTCGTTCTTATTTTAATTTTATCCGTTTTATTTTTTATTTTATATCTGCAAAGCGCTTTGGTCAACATGCTGTTTTTAAAGTGTTCAATACATTTTTGACTTGAAGTAAAGTTCTTACAGCCTCGTTTATTCTTCTTTGGGAAACTTGATTGTTTTGTTAGTAACTTGTTAAAGATTTGTGAAGTGTGAAATAACCTTCAAATTTTATCACATCTCATATCAAACAATATAATTAAAATGCCTTCCATTTCTGCTTTTGTTTTATCTCTGGGACCTTCATCTCCTCTCTGGTCTTTGCCTTTTGGGTTCTTGTTTTTGTGTGTCTGTGTGTTTCCTTTTACAAAGTTCTAATTCCCTCATTCTCGACCTTTTCTCTCCCTTCTCCAGTAATGACAGACGTGTGTCGTCCCAGGCGGTTCCCTCCCTGGTGTGGGCGCACTGCCCTGTGGGGCAGCTGGGCAGTGATTTCTCTAGCAAATGGTGTTTCAATTTGGGCGGGTCACGGTTTCAATCAGAGTGTAGCCATGATGTGGCTCATCTCCTGTTTTGCTAGCTTCCTGTGCTCCTGCCTGCTGTTGGAGCCACTTAAGGTAGACACACACTTCTATTCGGTGATGCAATTTTACCATATACATCTCTTTTCAACATTTAAACATGACTAGTTTTTTTTTTAAGCTGCACTGATTAATATCTTTATACTCACTCTGAATGAAATGACTGTAATTTAACAGATGTTGCTTATAGAAAACAGACCGACTTCAGGCTGAAAACCAAACTGATTTTCTTTGTACCTGAAACTCTAGAATTTCATACATAAAGAGCGCACACCCAGAGTTTCTGGCTAAATGCTGATCTGTCTGTGGTCATGTTAACACTTTTTGTGTCAGTTGAGGTTTTCCTATTTTCATTTCAGCTGATCAATCTGAATCATAAAATCTATTATGGAACAAGTAAATTAACAACCTCAAGCTTTGAAGCAGTTTTCAAACTTCACAGCTCCATTGCTCCCCCACTTTGTCCCGCAGGTGTTGTGTGAGGCCGTTTACTATGCAGTGTGTGTGCGTCGCCTGCGTCCAGAGGACCAGGATGTGCTGGTGGAGTTCCCCCGTGTGGAGAGAGTGGTTCAGCGGGTCACCAGGGTGAGACCGCCACAGGGCTTCGCTCTGTCCCAGGCCCGGCACCAGGCCCGCAAGATCCACATGCTGCACACCATGCTGAAGGTGAGTGGGTTAGGGCGGAGATGCTGGAGGATGCCTTCACATCTTTACTGCGTTGTAGACATTTAAAGCTCTGTCTTGTTTGATAACAGAATAGCTGGTTCTCATTTTCAGAATTTCCTGGTTTACACATTTTTCCTGTTGGTGGTTTTACTTCTTAACTACTCGGACTCTGCGAAAGAGACACACAGCCTCAGACTGCGCACTCAGCTGCAACAAGCCCTGCACATATCTGAGTACCACAATGTCAGCAGGTACACACACACACTCAGCTTCTACACCTGACTTTATTTCTTGTTAATGTGCTAATTCAATTAAAAAGTGTTTAGAATTTTATGAAAAATGTTGATATAGACCTTTTTATTAGTTCATTCCACTGAGAATAACAAGCTTCTCTGTGTGTAAAACTGTGCACTTGTTTTTTTTTTGTCAACTGTTGTGCACTCATCCCGTGAGCATACATCTTTAGGTTGTTTGACACCAATGTGTGATAAACTGATTTGTCTTGTAGTCGAGGTGACATTCTGATGTGGCTGAATGAGTCCCTGTTGCCACAGCTACTGGATGACTCCACCCTCTTGAGAAATACAGGAAGTGCGTTGCTCGGCACGATAAGGCTACGACAAATCCGTGACACCCAGGGTGAGACCAAAATATGGTTACTGTCTTTACCTTTGTCAGCTTGGAGCTAAATACTGATATAATTTGAAGGTCAGACAGAAACTGTCTCTAATCTGTTCAGTCTGTGCAAATGGAAAAAATATTTTTGTGGAGATGCCATTATGTTTCTTTGCTTTTAATTTTGAGTCAACTCAAATTATTTTGTTTTGTATCACAGGGACTCCAACAAACAATACTGTACCATTCCTCAACATCTACTTGCTGAACTCCTTATCTTTAAATTTACATTTCTGAGGGAACTTTAATCTCAGTTTATATTGTGTGCAGATGGTGCCAGGGCACGAGACAGTGTTTGGGGAAAAGGTTGGGCTACATCTCCAATTGAAGACACTGAGAATTTCACTGCCCTTGGTGCAGACTGGTAAGAAAAGGGTGGGAAAGCCCAGCTGTAACACGGCAGGCGTTCAGTTAACTTGGTCAGATTCAGTATCTGTTTAACATCTGGTTTTCTTTGTTTTCATGTTCTTTTTTCTCCTCTGTGTATCCTCCCACTCGTCCGTCTAGGGAGTGGCATTTGGCTCAGATGAGGGTGTACAACAGCGGAGATGTGGTCCATGAGCTGAACAGAAGCCTGGAGGAGGCCGCCTCCTCCCTACAGCAGCTGCGGCAGCTGAGCTGGCTTGACTACAGGTAGTAATCAGGGCAGGGCAGGGCTGAAAATAGTAGAATAAAAAAAATGAAGCCAAAGTTACAGTAGAAGAAAGAACCCACCATAACATCATCCAATTGCACTGCCAGCTGTTAAATGCACAGGTCAAGGCAATGCAGTCAGGAAAATCATGACTGATTTCTTTGTCCAGGGTGTATTCAAGGTCGGGGGCCAATTGTAAGGGAGAAGAAATTGGGATAGATGTACATGTGCACATAATTTCACAATGACTGGAATAAAACAGAATTCTGAATATGTCCCTGTGGTACATTATGCCCTGCAGGCTTCAGTCATTAAAAGGTTGTACACAAAAGCATGTCAAACATTAAAATGAAATATAGTAAACTATCCAGTAAAGAATGTGCTAAGAATGTAGGCTCGCTTTCAGCAATCATTCGGAGAATAACAACCGAAGGCACAAACAAACCTTTAATCCAGTGTTAGGTTACAGATATTCAGATGGGAGCAACTAAATGTCAGTAGAAATGTGTGGTGGAGCACTCTTACAACACACTCAGCTGTGTCTTTTGAACACTTGGTCAGTGCTGTTGATCTCTATATGAAATAAAGCGTCCTGTGACAGAAACAGCCAGCTTAATAAAACTGGTTCCAAAACTAGAAGTGACTTTTTGTAGTTAATTGTATGTGTTTTGTGTTTGTGTTGATAGGACTCGTTCTGTGTCGGTGGAGTTCTCACTCTACAACATCAACACAAATCTCTTGGCTGTCTTCTCCTTCCTGTTTGAGTTCCCAGTTTCTGAGCGTGCCCAGTCCAGTCTCGACCTCCTTGTCATCACTCTGTGGCCAATCACAGGCCTGGACCTACAGCTCCTTCTCACGGTAACCCCTGGCAACTTCTCTTAACACCATCAATAAAAATGATTGACCCCTAAGACACAGACCAGTCCCTTTCCCTGCCTTTGGCTTTGTTGTTTGAACATATCTACAATGAAACTTTGTTATTCCTTTGTTTTCCAGATCATCCTCCTCGCCTTGGTGTTGTATTTCCTGGTGCGGGGGATTTTGGGCTTCCTCAGGGAGGGCTACAAGTACCTGCTGTCAGCTTGGAGACTCCTGGGCATCTGTAAACTCACTCTGGCAGCATCTGTGTGTGGGCTGCACTTAAGCCGCTGCACCATGGCCAAGCAGCAGTGGACATTGTACATGGAGCACCCACGGGATGCGTTCACAGACTTCTACCCTCTGGCCAGGCAGACTCAGATGTACACAGTCGTGTCTGCCTTGCTGCTGTTCATACTGGTGCTCAAGGTAAAAGAGAAAGGCAGAGGGTCTGATTCTAAACATGTTAAAGGAAAGATTTTATTTACTGAAAAGTACTGAGTGACAAATTTGCATATTATTGAAGTGGTCTCTGAACTTTTTCTGCTGGGCCCCTCTTTTGTGTGTAAAAACATTTTTGAGCCCCACCACCACCATACACAGTAATATTCAGCCATTGTTCTAATTTGGAAACACATTTTTCTTGCACTTGCTCTCTCTTCTGATCATGCAGGCGTCCCACCAGTTGCGGTTCCTCAGAGAGTGGGCTGTGTTTGGCAGAGCCTTGCGGCGCTCAGTCTGGGAGCTGCTGGGAGTCACCCTGGCACTGCTGCTGCTGGTGCTGGCTTACTCACACACAGGACACTTGGTCAGTTTTTTCATCTGTATCTGTCTCTGAACCCCACCACTGCTGACACAAACTAAACATAATGTATTCTTGCACAAAATGCACAATGTACAACTGCATCTGTCCACCCACATTAGTTTACCTTTCATACAGTTGTTTAGTCTGTTCAGAAATGGTTTTATTCTCATGCCTACTGTCTGCTTTCTTTACTGAATTCCCACTAAACCTTCACTTCAGCACAGACTGCATAGCCTAGCTTTATCTCTGTTGTTAGAACAACAACAAAGTGAACTGAACTCCACTTGGTCTGAAATATTTCACATTATTCCAGTGTCTGTCTCTCCCTGGTGTGAAGTTCGGAATCAGTGACAATAGCTTCAGCCTGTCTAAACTGAGGCACATCTTGATGCATTATCCTTGGTGATTCTTTTTCTTTTCTCTTATTTATGGAGATTCTTCTCATACAGTTTGTCCCATTTTCCTAATGATTTCACAGGCCTACATTTTTCCAGTACACTGTTTGAAGCACCATGAGGAATCAGCTGTTTTAAACATTTTTCTCCTCCGTCTCCTGCCCTTCAGCTCTTCCACTCCACACTGGACAGCTACAGCAGTGTGAGCTCAGCCTGCCTGTCACTGTTGGGTGCTGATGGGCGGGGCCTGTTATCGTGGTGTCCCGCCTGGGCGATTACTGGTCCCTCTAGCACCATCTCATCGCTGGTGTTCCACACAACTTTCGCCATATTTCGGCTGGTGTTGCTTTGGTTGATCATTTCTGTGTTAATGAGGAACTACCGTCGTGCACGAGCAGAGCTGTACCGTCCAGCTGTGGATCTCCAAGACTATGAGATGGTCGAGCTGTTCCTCAGACGACTCAAAATTTGGATGGGGCTCAGCAGGGCCAAGGAGGTACATTTTCTGTTTCATGTCTATAACAAGCCCTTAAAAAAACAGTTTGACCTATTTTTATAAAGGTTTTGTAGGGACAAAATAAAAGAATGAGGTGAGAAGGTATTCATTAGTGGCTATATTAAGCTACGTACTTTCCCAATTCCTATATCTCCTCTTTTTTTGTCTTTCACCCTCTTCCTAGTTTCGTCACAAAGTGCGTTTTGAGGGCATGGAGCTGCCTCCATCCCGCTCATCCTCCACCAGTGACTGTAAGTCCCTGTGCTTGCCACCCTTAGACGGTCCTGACTCCCCACCCACCCCAGACAGTGTTGATGCAGGCTCCGAGGCCTCGTGGCACCCAGCCTCCTCCAGCCCCTGCAGCCTGACAGAAGCCCCAGGGGTCAGCCTGGGACTTGGGTTGGGCCTGGGTTTGGGGCTCAGCCCAGGGGTGGTGGTGGGAGGTACCAGCTGGAGGGAGAAGGCAGAGACTGAAGCTTCTCTTAGGAGGCTCCTTCCCACCCTGGACGCTCTGCTACAACAGCTTGACCGTGTCACCATGGCAACAGAGGACCTGTACCACATCGAGTGTAACCTGGAGCAAGCCCAGAGGAAAAGGCGGCGTAAAGGGAGAGATAGTGGAAGTGGTGGTCACAAGGACTCTGGGGATGCACGGAGAGAACAAAAGAGTGGCAAAGAAAAACACAAAGGAGGCAAGAAGGGGAGAAGAATGAATAAAGATGAACATCCAAAGGACTGTGGAAACAATGCTGCCAACCCCAGAAAGACTCCTGTACCTATGTCTGTTCCCTTTTTAAAGCCCTGCCCAGTCTCTGCTTCGACACATACCCCCGGCCCGCTGTCATCAGCCAGACCTCCAGTCATTGCACCTCCATCCACACCAGTCACAGATAAGCCTGCCTCTGACCTCTCCTCCCTCCTTGTCTCATCAGTAAACACTCCCGCCACCTGCATCCCACCACCCAAAACACCCACTGCATCTCCATGTACTCCCACACCTACCCCTCCCGTCCCTACCCATATTTCCCGGGACTGGGACCCTCCCACAGAGAGAGAGACCCTCCCCTCTTCCAGCCTGTTTAATCACCCCGCTCACACTACCATCATTCCCACACGCAAGCGAAAACGCAAACCCCCACCCCTCAAAAACAAAGTGCATCCCAACTTGGATAGGCACAGCCCTGGACATCCCAAATCCTGAGGATGGAGGAGCAAATGGAAGTGTAACAAATGGGGGTGGCATCCATGAGCATCAATATAGGGTTAAGGACGAGAGGAGGAAGGGGCAGCAGGTTTTGTCCCCAGATGCCCCTCTCTAAACCCTGAGGAGAGGAAAGATTAGCAGATGGGAAAGTTATTTAACGATTTACAGGAAGAAAACAAGAAGACAAGTAGTTTGGAGTAATGAAAGATAAACAGAGTTAGAAAATAAGAGTTTTTGCAGGTTTATAAGCAGTGACTTATTCAAAGCCCAGGTCAATTCTCTCAGAAGCACGATGCAGGTCACCAGATGCTAACTGAGCTAGTTTAAACAGCCAAGTAAAGATCAACAATGAAACCAAGAAATACTCATATTCCCATTTCCCCAGGGCCGCAACTGAACTTAGACCCCATGGAACCCTGGAGGTCACATGGGGTCGTTGACAGGCGCACATGAGTGTGCTCACCAGAGAACATAGTGAACTGAAAGTGATGCAAGTCTGTGTTTTTGTGTATCTCAGAAAAAGTGTTTCTCATTTATGTCCTTGTCTCTATATTTTATGTTTTGGTCACCATGGGTGCTTTGTGGCCTGTCTGAAAACAGGCACATTTTATAGTTTTGACCCAAATTTGCATGCAGGTACACTCATCCCCCACCCACACACACACAGATATATGTACAAGAAGGTAAACACAGGCATAGAAATAACACTGTAGCACAGATGCCCTAATGGTAATGTGTCATACACTCAAGCTCATGAGGAAAACACATATACACACTTATACTGTGTACTGCTAGGACACTCACTGAAGTAATGCATCCCCTAGCCCCTTACCCTAACAGTAACCATCACAACCAAATGCCTAACTCTGATCCTAATTCTAACCTAAAATGAAGTCTTAGCTCTCAAATGGCCCTTATAGGTTACAGGAACAGGTTAAAATGTCCTCACAGTGATTGTACTGAAATAATATTTGTCCACACAACCATAACAGATACGTACACATACACACACAAGGCTGCTGGGACCCCAGCAGCCAGTTCTTCAGGGTGCAGATATACAGTAATTCTCCATATTCAATCAGTATGGAGAGATGAAAAAGAGGCAGATGAAGGGACCCATGAGTAGTGACAAGGACATATAGCAAGTGATCAACCACTGGCTATACTTCCTACACCAGGAGTGTTAAGAGTGAAGGAACAAAGGGAAAAGGAGGATAAGGCAATGCTCAGTGGGGACGTTCGGTTGTAGATTTTAAAAAATGGAAAAAGTAGTACTGAGCATTGACACAAGTTCTCCTATCCTAAAGCTATAGTGACTCCCAGTCATAATATTTTTTAAATGTTTTTTGCATTGTGTTCAATATGGTTATGTTGTAAAAGCACTTTTGTTGATCTAGATTGTTTTTTTTAATGAGGTGTGGTGTAAGGTAATAAGCTCGGTATCCAAACCAATAGAAAAAGCTTCACTCATACTGTATCTAAACTATAAATCATGCCAAAGCTTTGACTTCATTTATGCACCCTGAGTTTTTACCATGCCGAGTAATATTCGTTTTGTACTTAGCACTTTATTTTCTAATTGAGCTGATATGCAACGCCGTATTTAACTCTGTCATGTCAAGATGTCATTTTGTATCAACATTATAGAAACATCTTAGTTAAGTATTATCAAGGTATCGAAGCAATAGTTTGCAATTGGGTCTTGTACTTTTGTCTGGTCGTTGTGGTGTTTTATTTTGGTCAACATGCTTACTTCCTGTGTCCAGTGGGCAGATCTCAGGGAACCCACCCTTTCCACAAAACCTGGAAACACAACCAGGAATACCAAAACTGGGAGCAAAATGATTTTTGCTCCCTTTTCTCTCAGCCAAAAAGTGGAAAGTTGTGTCAGCCCCATTTTCATGTTTATAGATATGGAAGAGGACTTGAAGTACTGATGGGCATATCAAATAAGACTGACCATTTTTCTCCCTCTTCCTTCCAAACCCTACCATCACACATCAGAAAGCAAAGTGTTCATCCTAAATGGTTTAATATTGAAACACCTCTTTTCTGGTCATTAAGTTGCAGATCTAACTTTCTGGATCTTATGAAAAGGAATGGAAACGGCCCCTGTGTGTGTACATTTATGTATATTTTGGTGCTTTGTAGTGTATATATTTTTGCTTGATCAGTATTGATCGTGTGCTGCAGCAGCATATTCATCCCAAAGTTTAACATTTCTCTGGTTTAACTCCAGCCAAAGCTATTAGCGTATTTAATATACATTTTGTTCACAACATGCCAACTAGAAACCACAGGAAGCTCAGCTGTCAACAGGTTCATGCCTCCACTGGCCACCTTCGCATCTTCTAGCTGCCTAGTGTTATAAGATGCACTCTTTTAAAACAGTATTACAGAATCATCTGAAAATATTTGTCTATGCTCTTATTTTGTATCGTCTGTTTTGCAGCTGTAGCACTTCTCATGCTTTTGCACTTGACAAAGTCAAATAAAGAGTTTGACAGCTGAACTGTGCACAATGACATGGTTTTGGCTTATGGTCTGCGACTGAGTGGCCACTTAATGTTATTTAAACCTATTAAAAAAAAAAAAAAGTGGCCCGTTCGGGAGCAGCAGAAATCAGTTTAACATTATCATTCCTGTCATATTGATATGGTTAAACAGTTATTTAAACACAAAGCAGTTATAGACTGTACAGCACTTATGTCCAATATTCATCCTCTTTTAGCTCTGTGATTTCAATGGCTGAAGGAAAAGTCAGGAAAAATTACACTTGGATTTTGATTTAGTCCTTTGGGAAGAAGAAAGAGAATAACCCTGTATTTCGAAACCTTTCATGGTCACTTTTTATTCCACAAGCATTTACACACAAACACACTCTGCTTGTGGTTGTGTGCGCCAAGATACATGTAATCAAACAAAATCAGTGAAATCATCCACTGTTGATACGAGCCTCTTCCTCTGGCCAGAGGCTTCTGGATTAGTCGCTTGAGCGCTCTGCTGAAACGACTTGTTCTGCTGAGTGTGTCCTTGTGTCAGCGAGATGCCAGGAGTTGAGCGAGACTGAATGTCTTCCTGAGCCTGAGAGATGGCAAGAAAAGTGACATTTGAGAAAAAACTGAAGATGCCACTATGTTAAAGTAGTGCCGGTAATGAAGGAAGGGCCATTTTTTAAGTTTTCATGTGTATTGTCCTCACCCTGGTCCTGATCCTCTTAATGTGTCGTAACCTTGCTAGCCACTTGGAGGCATAAGCATCAGAGGGGTTTGCTCTGTACTGATGCACCAAAGAGGCCATCTGCAGAGAGATAAAGACAGTGTGTGAGTGTGTATGAGTGACTAAGTGTGAGAGGCGGTAATAAGGAAAAGACTTACATTTGCATGCAGAGCCATCTGTCTAACTAAAAGTGGAAGGTTGCGGTCCGAAACGATTTTTGCCACCGTTGTGTCTACTAAGCTCTCCAGATCTTAAAGAGAGAGCAGGGGAAGGGAAAAGGTAAAACAAAACTGACAGCAACAAGTAACAAGACCAGAAAAAAAAGTCTTACCTTTGCGGCACTGGAGGGTGACCAAGTTACATTCATAATCCAGTGGTTTTATAATGACTTCTACAAAGTTAAACTGGCCCTAAAAACACAAGAGATCAGAGCTAAAACAGAAATATCTACATACACGTTGCTTCTGATTTTTTTTTTTTTTTTTTTTTACTGTTTGTGTGTATGCATGTACCTTAATGGTGCCCAGTTTATACTCCTCTCCAGAGTCGTTGTACACCACCATGACGAAATCATTGCCAATGTGACGCTTTTTGTTGCAGCAGCCCTTGTCACTCTCCCTGTTTGGCATCAGCGTGGCTATGTGGAAGATAGCTGCAGAGACACAACTTCATTAGTAACAAGCAGAACAACAAACAATTGCCATAAATGTCACCCTTTTCCCTGTATCTCTCACACACACACACCCTTGTTTTTGTCACTTACTGGATCCCTACATAGACTTGCTTTCATTTCCAGGAGACTTAGCCTAACCTTAACCAAAGCCTACACCTGCTCTAATCTTACATCCCATCATTTTCATAAAATTCTACAAACTACATTGTGGGGACCAGCCTCCGGTCCCCACAAGTGACTTCCGGTCCCAACAAAGATAGTAACTTATGGATTTTGGGCCACACAAGTATTGAAAAACAAGGCCACACACACACACACACCCTGCATGATGTCGTCGTGCCAGCAGTAGGTGAATTCTCCATCATCTCCATACTGGTCAAGCCCTCCAAGGAAGATCTGGTCAGGGTCGCAGTCTTTCAGATGGATTAATTTGCCGAGGCCTGTGAGGAAGGCAGCGTAACGGTTCGAACCATACTCATTTGACAGGATGGCAACCTCATTGTTAACCTGAGGAGAGTGGAGAGGATGAAGGGGTAAAGTCCGAGACTATAGGAAATACCCGAAGTTATTATCCAAACAGCATTTGGTGCTCATCTTCTCACCTGACCAGCTCCAACAAACACCACTCCAATCTTATGGGTGTCATAAGGAGGCATCTGGTCCAGAACCTTGACAGCACGGTCAATCACCTACAACAGGGAGAAAACCCTGTTAACAGCGCAAAACTGACAGCAACAAGTAACAAGACCAGAAAAAAAAGTCTTACCTTTGCGGCACTGGAGGGTGACCAAGTTACATTCATAATCCAGTGGTTTTATAATGACTTCTACAAAGTTAAACTGGCCCTAAAAACACAAGAGATCGGAGCTAAAACAGAAATATCTACAGTACTTCAGTTTTTTTTTTTTTTTTTACTGTTTGTGTGTATGCATGTACCTTAATGGTGCCCAGTTTATACTCCTCTCCAGAGTCGTTGTACACCACCATGACGAAATCATTGCCAATGTGACGCTTTTTGTTGCAGCAGCCCTTGTCACTCTCCCTGTTTGGCATCAGCGTGGCTATGTGGAAGATAGCTGCAGAGACACAACTTCATTAGTAACAA